AGTACCGTATTTTCCGCACTATAAGGCGCACTTAAAAGCCTTTAATTTTCTCAAAAAACGACAGTGCGCCTTGTAATCCGGAGCGCCTTATATATGGATCAATTGGTTAATTGGTTGATCTATACTGGTTGTACACGGCGCTCTGTCAAAATGTTTCAGTACGACTGGTAAACTACAAAGCCGCACCGCTTGCAGCATTACGGCTACCGTAGTCGGGGGCGTCGCCGAAGTCAAAAATCAATAAAGTTTGACTGAATGACTTATCTGACTGTTTTGTTGACATTCCCTTTAGCACAGCTCCATCTAGTGGATGCATAACGCAACCCCTGTCAAACGTTTGACTGTAGTAGCTTCTATTCTATGCGCCTTATAATCCGGTGCGCCCTATATATAAAAACAGTTCTAAAATAGGCCATTCATTGAAGGTGCGCCTTATAATCCAGTGCGCCTTATAGTGCGGAAAATACGGTATATATTTATTAAATTCTGCACATACACAGTGTATTTGACTCGTCATGGTTTCATTCAGATGATGTGGACAGTTAATCATTCATCTTTTTGTCCCCCCCAGGTGGTAGAACAGGGTATGTTTGTGAAGCACTGCAAGGTTGAGGTGTACCTGACGGAGCTGAAGCTCTGTGAAGACAGCAACATGGACAATGTGATCACCAGACGCTTCAGTAAAGCCGACACAATAGGTAGGCCCGAGTCACTCTGGAGGAACTGTCGATTTACACCGCCAAGGAGTTCAAAGTTTACTCGCACCCCCGATTTCATGTCGTGAACTTTGATTTCCACCGTTTACATTTTTTTAAAATTAATACTCACACTTTGCTGCAGACATGATAGAGAAGGAGATGAGGAAGCTGTTCACCATCCCTGATGAGAAGGAGACCAGGCTGTGGAACAGGTACATGAGCAACACCTTCGAGCCCCTCAACAAACCAGACAGCACCATCCAAGACGCCGGCCTCTACCAAGGACAGGTAGGGACTCTTTCTAATTTTAATAATGGGAAAGGCTCTGGAGGGGTCATTTCCAGGAGTCAGCAAAAAGAAAATAAATCGTATTTGACAAAATCAACACAGAGCTGTCCGAATATGGCTTGCTATGTAGATGGTTATTATTCCTGAGCTCAGTGAAATATGCTCTAGTTTCAATCGCCCCTTTTTCAGATGGCTTATCCTTATTTGTGCTCTCTGCCAGTCGGCCCTTTTAAGCCGCAGCAGAGTGAAGCTTTAGAAAACCCTTTTGTTTGAATCTGTATCCAACAGGTGGCCACTACCTGCAGAGGGCAGTCAAACTAATCTCAAGTTCTTAAATAACTTCAGTGCTCAATTCTCTTCAGATTCTCCATGAAAGTCTTTCAACGCCGTAGGTGGTACTGTGACAAGTTTCTTCTGTGCAGAATCAGATTTCGATGAAAATGATGATTTAAATCCCCTTGACTTCCACCTGAAAAGACTCTGGAGTTTACATTAACACAATGTGGCGGGACCGTCCTGTAATGAGTTGGTTACAACTTCAAAACCCACAACATCTGTTCGTCTGGCTGCCATGTTAGGCACTCACCCTCTCTTTACAAGCCTCTTAAACTCCATCTTGTATTCCACAGTGTAGGATGCATGTACGTGAATGTTTGGTGTCTTTTAAACTGAGCAGATGGATCTCTGCTTTCCCTCTGCTGTCTCCCACAGGTTCTCGTAATAGAGCAGAAGAGTGAGGACGGCTCATGGCCCCGGGGCTCCACGGCACCCAAGTGAGTGAACCGCAGCACGTCACCCGGCTTGCATCTCTTTGTCGACTGAAGGAAAATGTAACCACAGAATGCAATGATCCCGCTGTATTCAAACACTGTTGGTTCACCGATAGATCACACACACAGGTGGTGTATTGTTGAGTTGCTAGAGATTTAGTCAGTTTGAAGGGGAAATAATATGACGTGACACAGCGTCTTGTCTTGGAAATGGTCTAAAACACCTTTCAATTGCTGCTTTTACATTTTATTGTTACACCCCCCTTTTTTTTTTTTTTTTTTACTTCCCTGCTATGTCACCACAGCACCGTATCATCTTCAAAACTTTCCTCTCTACGACACCTCGGCCCACCTCTTCTGCCGGACCCTTTGTTGCTCACATGTCCCTCCTCTTTGTTCTAATTTATCTCCGTTTTATTTTATTGATGCTCTGCACACCTTTCTGGAACAGCGCCCTATTTCCTCTAACTCGTGATCTAATCTTTTATCTTTTTGAAGGTCATCTGGTGCTTCCAATCTCTCTGCTTTGCCAAAGATCTTGCCTTCATCTCTCACAAACAATCATAACAGCAGCTTCAACAGCAGGAAGTAAGGCCTAGTAGTGGGTTGAGTAGCTCGGGGGTGGGTTTCGGATGCCAACAGACAGAGATGGAGTCTGGAGTGTTGCTCAGCACAAACCTTCACGTTAACCCTTCGCCCAGGAATCTCTGATTGAATTTGGCCTCCCGCAGAAATTCCTTACCAGCAATGAAGTTACTTTAGATTGATCTATTTGGACTTTTTTCTCTGTTTTGCCCCAGCTCAGTCATACTAAACAGTATGAAGTTTGTCAAAGTTTGTTCCATCTCTGCCTGTGGTTTGGGTCTTAAAGCCATCTTGTGATGATTCAGCTGTAAAAGCTGAAGTCGGGGGTGGGGGGGGGCTTACGAGGGATTGATCTTTTTTTAAATTTTCTCCAGCGACAGCAGTGCTCTCTATATATGGCCTCCGGTGTCTCTGGGTGCCTTACTCAGCATTTAATCTTGCTAGTTGATCGTTCACATCTGATTTGCTATCCTGACTGATGGATGGCTCTGACTAGGGCTGCATGATTATGGTTAACGCGGTGATTATTTTTTCCCATTAATGTGTGTCACAAGGTCTGGATTTCACCTTTACCGTCTTGTACACCACTCGATCAAAAATATTATTCAAATGATACAATATTCGCAGTGTATTTGGGGCTCAAAGACGAGCCTGAGACACGCTTGGTACAGACCATTTGCACATGTTTTATCTGACTCGACACCGAGACGTATCCAGATAACATGATCTCCTTTAATGAGCTAAATTGATTTCATATTGTTGCCATGATAGCTTTACAGAGTGTTAAAATTCTGTTCCGTGCACCCATGTTCTCCTGGTTCTGATACTCAAACTGGATGAAACCGTCCTGGATCCTGTTTCCTCTCTTAGCAGTACCTGAGGCAGTCCGCCCACACCAACTGAGCCGTACTCTTATTTAGTATCTAATTACAACTTTCAAATGATAAAACATCAGCACTTTACAGTATTTCTGAGACATCTGCAAGCCTGAATCTTTGCAACTGTTGGTTATCTTTAAAACATCTTCAACCAAAAGTGATGCTTTCGATTCTTCTTCGACCATTTCCAAAGTAGGCCTCCGTAAGATTTTACTGCCCACATCCTCATTTTTTACTCTCGTTCTTGGTTTGGAAGCTGATGCACCACATTAGGAGACCGCATGAAGCGTGCTATTGTTAATCATTCAAAAATAAAATCCCAGTGTGAGCTTACTCATGCAGCTCAAGTAGACGTCTACATTTCTTAACCGTCTTAAAACAAGAGGCAGAGGGGAAGCAAGTATGTGGTTAAATCGCATATCAATCAGTCAGTCCACATTTCTTGCTTTCTTTTCAACTTTCAGTATCTGTTTCCTGAAAATGTCTCCTTGCTTCCTGTAGCCTAGGTTAGGGTTTGTTGCTAAAGCACTGGGATACAGAGGCTCCGTCTGCCCTCTGCTAGAGAGCACTGATCGGCTGTCGGTGGAGCTTTTGCCTGTGCCGTCTAGCAGACGTTACTGTCCCCTCCCTCCACCTTCTGTGTCATTTACTGCATGCCGGAGTTTGTTTGTGTGTGTCTGTGCGTTTTAGATAAACACTCTGTGTTGTTTGATCCTGTCGGAAAGCCGACCGCTACCCTGAAACGTATCAATATTGATAAAAGGAAGCACTAGCTGAAAGAAACGATACCACTGCCTTGTACTTCCATTTACACATTATCATTTCACAGCTCTGCTTTGTTGTTTGATAGCAGCGGCATCTTTCCCTGCAGAGTGGGTGACTTGGGGAAATTGGATCTTCACTCCCAGCAGCCCTCCTGTCCCTGATTCACTGTAGTGGAGCTGTCGTTTCCTCTGAATTATGCATGTCGCCTCTTTTTTTTTTTTTTTTTTTTTTTTTTTTTTCCCTCCTCTCTCTCATATGTAGCGTTCCCGCATTACGTAACATTTGTCTTTTTGATTTTGCGGTTTTGGCCTGGTCGGTTTAGCCTCAGTAGCGATGCTGTGTAACAGCAGTAAGTTTCACCGTCTTACTCTGGCAGGCAGTTTCGCTCTCGCTCTCTCTCCCTCAGTCTCTTTACCTCTCCTCTCCCCCTGAGCTCATTGCGATGCACACGTTCTGCAGTCTAAGTGACCTTCAGAACCTATTTCGTGTGCTCCCCTCGTCGCCTGCCTTCACACACTCTCGCATACCGGGCCCCTGTGATGAAGCCTGCCTCTTCCTTCAGAGTTTTCTCAGCTTATTTATTTAGACCCTCCCTTTTTAAAAAGCTTTCGCACAGACAGCCATGACATATTAAAGAGGACGAACGAGGGAGTGTGCGTTTGAGGGATTCTAACAATGTCTCAGGGTGTTATTTCAACAGGGGGGGAATGAGAGCACAAGTTGTGTGTTAGTGTGTCGAGATGAGAGAGAGAAGGGGGGGATGAATGGTGGTGTGTCGGCATGTGTGAATACGTTCATGTGCGTTGGAGAGAGATGCTAAGAGTCAGGCCTGTGAATACTGCAGCCTCAGCTGGATGCAGTGGATCAGCTGCTCCCTCCATCCCATTTCTCTTCTATACCCCCCCATCCCGTGCTGTCCGCCCCTCCCCCTATTTTCTCTCTCTCTCTCTCTCTCTCTCTCTCTCTCTCTCTCTCTCTGTCTCTCTGTACCTCTCTCTCTCTGTACCTCTCTCTCTCTCTCTCTCTCTCTCTCTCTCTGTCTCTGTACCTCTCTCTCTGTCTCTGTACCTCTCTCTCTGTCTCTGTACCTCTCTCTCTCTCTCTCTCTCTCTCTCTCTCTCTCTCTCTGTACCTCTAGCTTCGGTAGCAGTAGTCTTGAGCATCCTTGCTGCTGCTGATGCTGCTATAAATATCTGCTGGTAGCCATAGAGTGGCAGAGAGCAGCAGGCAGGCCAGAGGGAGGAGCAGAGGACAGGACAGGGGAAAAGGATCTGAGGCAGAGAGGATAACAAGATGACAAGCGGTCGAGCTCGAAAAAGAAGAAGGGGGGGAGAAGAGAGGAGAGGAGCTGCTTAGTTAGCTCTAAGAAAGAGGAAGAGTGGGTGTTTTTGTTCGTTAATGCTTCCTGTGGTTTGATTGTTGGCTTGGCCGGACTTGGAAGTCAATTTTAGGCCTAAACTTGGTTCGGACTGTATTCTAACAGCTACTGGAGCTGCACTGGGTTGAGCTGAGTTAACATTAGGACCCAAGACTGGAGACTGGAGCTGGACTTTCCTACGCGGGCCTCTAAATACCAGGCTTTGCATGTGCCGGACCTGAACCCGAACCCTATCGGAACCCCCATCCGGGCTGCTGGTCGTTCAGTTTCGTGCGGACATGTGGGCCGGCATGGGCCGGGGCGGGGCTGAGATGTCATGCTCCTCTGTTGCTGGTGGTGCCTGAGGCCAGAGGCGGCGGAGCTGGACAGCAGGAGGGTGGACCACCGTGTGCTCAACTGCGAGGCCAGCGCCTCCACCGCCATCACAGCTGTTTCCCTTGACCAGTGGGAGCCAGAAACGACCAACACTGCCCCGCAGCCCTCCCAGAGGTCTGCTGATTGCTGCAGTTAGGGAGGCCGAGCTTTAACACTCGGATTGTCTAGGAAGCCTGAGAGAGTGGTTCATTTTTGGGGGGGCGGGTTCATAGGTCTGGCTTGTAGTTTGGTCTTTCATCAAAGAGGAATTTGCCTGCTGAGTGTATTAACAGCTTTATCTTATTTAGCTTAACATAGATGTAGCATTAGCAGTTTAACAAACCCCATTCAACCCGATATAACGTGCCTGTTTGTGCTTTTGTATGTTTATTGCACAGTGTGAAGAATTCAAGCTATAGTCTACCGTCCTACCACCCTTACAACAGTAGCTATGACTACTCGGACCAGAGCAGGCAGAGTGAGCGCTCGGGCCTCTGTGGACTCTCCAACCTGGGCAACACCTGCTTCATGAACTCTGCTGTGCAGGTAACCGCATGCCTTCAGAAGTGTGGGAAGTTATTCTAGTTCTTCAAAAGTTTGTTCATAAAGTCTAAAAGAATTGGATGTTTTTATACAGTAATCTGAAGGCTTGTTGTGGCTCAACGCCATACTGTAACACATTCATTGTGTTGTCTATACCATTCTGTAGATGTAAGAAAAGAAAAGTGAGCGCATGATAGTTCAGAAATTCAGATCTTGCAAAGAGCCTGAATCCTCCGCTGATTATTGTTCTCTCCTGCTTCTGCGCCCCCTCAGTGTTTAAGCAATATCCCTCCTCTGACGGAGTACTTCCTCAAAGACAAGTTCACAGAGGAGCTGAATGAGGACAACCCGCTGGGCATGAAGGGGGAGATCGCCAGAGCCTACTCGGAGATGATCAAGCAGCTGTGGTTGGGAAAATTCAGCTACGTCACCCCAAGGCCTTTCAAGGTGACTACCTGGGAGGAAAGATTGTCAAATTCTCTGAGCAGTTTTGTATATTGGGGTCACTACCTAAGCAGTCCACTGTTTATACACTTTGGAAAGGAAAGTCTGTCAAAATGATTGTGTCACCCACAGTAAGGCAGTTGGAGCATGAAGCAAAAGTCTGCCTGTATCAATGCTACTAAAGGTACAAAGTAGGAACAAGTAGGAAATGAGCTACTGGCCTAACACACCAGTGTAAAAGCCTGGTGAGTGAGTGAAGGCAAGTTTATTTGTATAGCACATTTCAACAACAAGGCAATTCCAAGTGCTTCACATAAAACCATTAAAAACATAAGGCAAAAGAAAAGGAGATTTAAAAACAATTAAGAACATTGATTAAAACACTAAAAAGCAGTGTAAGAAATAAAATACAGTAGTATAGTACAGAAATTGATTAATATCCTTGAATCTGGTTCAATTAAAGGCGGCAGCAAACAGAAAAGTCTTCAATCTTGATTTAAAGGGTTTTAAAGCTCAGGTTATTATCAATCCTCAATCAAAGATTTAACGAGCTGAAAATAACCATGTTGATATTATTAGTTTGTTTGAAGGCTTTCATAGAAATGTGAGGGCGATGAAGTTTCAAACTAAAACCGATGGCCAAGAAAGAACCAAAGTTTGTGAGAATAGACTCATTTAATTTGATCTCTATCGAATATCGGGCAGAAAGTATCCTAGTTTGTCTTTTTGTTTCTGTGCCTTTTTGTTGTTTTCTTTCATGAGTCTTCCGTCCTCCAGACCCAGGTGGGCCGCTTTGCCCCACAGTTTTCGGGCTACCAACAGCAGGACTCTCATGAGCTGCTGGCCTTTCTCCTGGACGGCCTTCACGAAGACTTGAACCGCATCAGGAAGAAGCCCTACATCCAGCTAAAGGACGCTAACGGCAGGCCTGACAAGGTGACGTCATAACGGCTCTGCAGATGTGTTAAACGGTCTCCATCTTCAAGTGTATTTAGCTGGAGAATGCCCTTCTGAATAAACACTGTCCTGTTGTTCAAAATGTTATTTTATGTTTTACAGACTTTTATATTGTTAGTTCATGTGTTGATGTTTATCTCAGGTGGTGGCGGAGGAGGCGTGGGAGAACCACGTCAAGAGAAACGACTCCATCATCGTGGACATCTTCCACGGCCTTTTCAAGTCCACCCTGGTGTGTCCCGTGTGCTCCAAGGTCTCTGTGACATTTGATCCGTTCTGCTACTTGACCCTGCCCCTGCCCATGAAGAAGGAGCGGACGCTGGAGGTCTACCTGGTCAGACTGGACCCTCTGGCCAAACCCACGCAGGTAAACACACATTGCCCGGCTGGGAAAGCACCTGAACATGGCACCTGAGTGTTGTACCCTGACATTCTGATTGTGTGCGTTTCCGCTTCAGTACAAGCTGACCGTGCCCAAGGTGGGCTACATCTCTGACCTGTGTACCTCCCTCTGCAACCTGTCGGAGGTGCCTGCTGAGAAGGTACAAACATCACAGTCGGCTCTGCTCTGGGGCAGTAATGATGCCGACATCTCTTCAAACAGCACAAACCAAAACTGTGTATTCCATTTTCAACTGTCCCTCTTCAATGTTTCCTTTTTAGATGTGTCCAAAATATTTAGCCTGCTATATACCAGTGTACTAAATATCATGAGGAATTGGTTCATTCTGCCTGCGTTTCAAAGAGTCTCCTGACTGCTTTTCTCTGATTCCCCAGATGATTGTAACTGACATCTACAACCACCGTTTCCATCGGATCTTCGCCACCAACGAGAACCTCAGCAGCATCATGGAGAGAGATGATATCTATGTGTGAGTGTCTAACGTGGCAGACAGGCAGACTCCATTTTCTAAATTCCAAGTTTCTGGCCCGTGTTTACCACATTAATAACAGATTATTTAGCTTAATTCATAGTTTAGTCTGTTCTTATCAAACGGCATCATTCATTAGTACAAGATTTGACTTCCTAGTACAAATCTATCGACTGTTTTGACTTTATTACTGAAGGTTTTGCGACTTCAGAGATTTCAAGCATGGAATCGTTGGCTGTCGACCAGTTTAAATCGCTTCTTCTGCCAAGCACATAAATATGCAGTAGTTAGGATTTCACGTCTTGCCACTGAACACGTAGCAAATCCACCGACTTCCAAACTGACCACGCTTGGTCCCGTGCAGGTTCGAGTTGGCGGTGAACAGGGTGGAGGACACGGACCATGTGGTGATCCCGGTGCACCTGAGGGAGAAGTACAAACAGTCGGGCTACAACCACACCAGCACGCCGCTGTTCGGACAGCCCTTCCTGCTCGCCGTCCCCAGAACCCTCAGTGAGGACAAACTCTACAACATGCTGCTGCTGCGCCTCTGGTGTGTTCATTCGTCTCCGTGTTCGATCCCACGGTCATTGTTGAAGATTGACGCCAGCTTAGTGCTTCTCAACTTTGATGGCAGCTTGTCTACGAGCCACTTTGGCTGGCAATCAAAAAATTGCTGTAAATAGAAATGGTTTTGTGTCTGCAGCCGGTTTGTGCGATCTTCAGTAGAGGAGGACGAAGAGGAGTGTGAAGAGACGCAGCCATCCAAACAACACGCCGTCAACGGTAACGCCACTAATGGACTGCTGGAGGAGGGGTCGCCGAGTGAGTGCACAACCCACCCCCACACTCACACGCGTTCTGGTCAGATTACCCGTAACAGTTTTGACCTTTCCAAATGTCTTACTTTTGTGCCACATAGCACTTGCTATTTAAAGTCATTGCTCTTTAGAAGCAGCCGAGGTGCTTTTAAAGTCTTCTGTGTCCCTCCCTCAGGCGAGATGGAGACAGACGATCAGGACGACGAGTCCAGTCAGGATCAGGAGCTGCCCTCCGAGAATGACAACAGCCAGTCTGAGGACTCGGTGGACAACGAACTGGAGAACGGCGTGGTCGGCCCACAGAACTCCACCAAGGGCCAGCAGACGGCAGGGCACAGCAGGAGGAGACTTTTTACATTCCAGTTCAATAACATGGGGAAAACGGACTTCTCCCTCATCAAGGAGGACACCAGGCAGATCCGCTTTGACGAGGGACACCTCCGACTCAGTGGTAGGGACTGGGGGGGACAAATAAATCCTCACATACTATGCACAAATTCAAAAAAATCAAAATGGAGTCAGACTCCAATCATTACAGATGTTAATTATCAAGTGTCGTTGGAAGTAGGTACTCGCATTTTCAAATGGTGGATATCTTATTTTGCGGCACAGATAAGTCATTTAATCATTTTGTAAGCAGCAAGATAAAGGAGCCTGTAGATGCATGGAGGAAACAACAGACTGATTGATGATGATAGTAAAACTAAAACATCTGATTCTGTGTTTTGACAGACCGCTCTTATCTCTCCTTGGACTGGGAGCCGGAGATGAAGAAGAAGTACTTTGACGAGACCGCTGTCGAGGTAAAGCCAACTTTACAGTATTAATACAGCCGTGCAGCTGGTGCACTTTGTTTTAGCATGCGCACCGTGCAGTGCAGTGTGCCACCCTGTTATAAAATATGGCAATGTGAACCAGACAGGAGCAGCAGGAAGTCTCGGTAACAGGCAACAGCTGTTTGGTAATGAAAAAGGCACAGATCTAACGCCTGCTGCAGACACTGCATCCTGAAAAAAGGCTTTAAAAAACCCCACTTTGCTGTTTGTGGCTAAAATGAAAATGTGCCTCTTATATTTTAATAACATGAACTACAGTATTTTCTTGTTATACATGCAAACTTGTTCCTTATAAACTTAAGACACCTTATTAGTCCATATTTTAAACTTGTGTAAAAGCATTATGTCTGCACAGAAAAGACTGGAGCACAAGAGGACGATGAGCCGAGTTGTCTAACAGCTTTATCTGTTTGTGTGTGTGTGTGTGTGACCGGGAGCAGGACTTTGACAAGCATGAGAGCATGGACTACAAGCCTCAGAAGAAGGCTTACTTCAAGCTGAACGACTGCATTGAGCTTTTTACCACCAAGGAAAAACTGGGAGCAGAGGACCCATGGTGAGAACAGGAGGTGTGATGCCCCCCCCGCTGTCGGCCGAGTGCTGCGACACGTTAGCTCAACTGCGTTGTGTGCATCCTGTCTCGTAGGTACTGTCCAAGCTGTAAGCAGCACCAACAGGCCACGAAGAAGCTGGACCTGTGGTCTCTGCCGCCGGTGCTGGTGGTCCATCTGAAGCGCTTCTCCTACAGTCGGTACATGAGGGATAAACTGGACTCCCTGGTTGATTTTCCACTCAGGTACACACACACACATCTCTATCATGTCTGCAATTTAATAGAACTTTGTTGATCCGTGAAGGCTATTCGATTTTGGGAAACAGGAAACGGTAATACGCACAGACATGTACAAGCAAAAGAGCTGTTTAAGATTATGTTGTTTTGGAATATAAATATGAAATAAGTCATAATAAAATAACGATGGAAGTAAATGAATAAGGAAATTGTCCACTTGGCACATTTTATAAGACATGAATGAATTTCATTTTTTCAAATTTTGTCATTATTTGGAATTGTAATACATAATGCTTACATAATTTATAATGCACTGCAATGTCTTCCATTAGTTCGCCGCCTCTGGCCTCAGGCACCACCACTATAAAGGGTTTCAGTTCCGTGTTAGTACCCGGAGATACCTCCGAATGCCTGTGTAGAAACAGACCTTTTTATAGTGTTATGGTACGAAACCTCAAGTATACTGTGTATCAAAGACTTTATTTTCACTAATCATTCATGGCACATGACCACTTCTAGTACACCATGTGATGTGTTTCCTGCAGAGACCTGGACATGTCCGAGTTCCTGATCAACCCCAACGCCGGGCCCTGTCGCTACGACCTCATTGCTGTGTCCAACCACTATGGCGGGATGGGTGGAGGCCACTGTAAGATGCACCACACCACGTGCTCCTTTATGCACCCCGACCCTTTGCAGCATTATCAAGGAAAACACTGTGCAAATATATTATTCACCACATGCCTGAAACTAGTCATAACTAGTGTTGGAGCTCACTACAAGTCTGCTTTGAAGGCTGCTTGACCTAAATTCTGTCGACTTTGCATTGCCAAAGTGTGTTAGAATACGAACGGTATGAGCACAGCATGGTAAGCGTAAAAGCTGTGTAATACTGTATCCTTGTGTTTTAATGCCGTGCTGCTCAGACACGGCGTACGCCAAGAACAAAGACGACGGGAAGTGGTACAACTTTGATGACAGCAGCACGTCTCCCGCCAACGACGATCAAATCGTGGTGAGTGTCCTCATCGGCAGCAGCACTGCTGTAGAGAGAGTTCGTCAAGGCTTTTCCACCTCACTACCCACTGACGAATCCACGAGACACACAGCTTCTAAGTTAATTAGTTTGTCAGGTTCACAGCACAATCACAGCTGATGCTTTCTAATGACTTGGAGGTAACAACACCCACCGCCTGCTATCTGGGAAATGTGTTAAGAGTCCGTACAGTCAAGGAGGAAAATAGTAAGAAATATATGCGTGGGCATGTTTAACAGACGCTCACGTTCATGTAACTGTTGAATTGTGTTTAACTGAAGTCATTGTAAAATAAATAAAACATGACTTGCTATTGGCTGATCTAGGTAAATATATATCGCACTATATACTGCTTGAGGTTCAATGTAAAAACCAATGAATAGACCAAAGCCGACTCTATTAGTCTCATGTTTTGTCTCTAGTCCTTTAGCTTTTCCTCAACGGACGGGTTTTGTCATGGCTGTAATTAATGCAGCATCCTTTTGACTTTTTGTCATGTTATTAGAAGTATAACGTAGAAGACCTAAGTTAAAAAGGGAATTCTACATAAAAACAAAGTCACAGCAGTGACTTTATTTTTGTGTAGCTAGCTAATGTTGTTCGTCGTTGTCTTTCTCTCAGTCCAAAGCCGGCTACGTGCTGTTCTACCAGCGCCAGGACACGATGAAAGGCACCGGGTACTTCGCTCTCGACCGCGAGGAAGAAGAGGAGGAGGAGGAAGGAGAAGAAGATGAGGAGAACGAAGGCGAGGAGAGGCAGGAGAGAAACAGCCCCTCGTCCACTCAAGGGGCCTCTTCCTCCGCCAGTGCCGCCTCCGCCGGTGCCGCCACTCAGAGTGACGAGGAGGACGTGAACGAGAACCGGCGCAGGAAGAACGACAACGAGCAGGGAAATGAGGAGGACGACAACGACGACGACGAGGAGGAGGAGGAGGAGGAGGAGGAGCAGGAGCAGCAGGCGCCCAATCGAGATGTCACTATGAAAACCAACTGAGGCAAACGAGGACGCAAACACATGGAGAGAAAGAGAGACAAGGATCTTTCCATCCAAAGCCATATGGACACACAGCATGGCAGCGGGCGCCACCGGTCCCGCCCAGCGGCCTCGGACTCGGCCGCTCGACAGGCTGAGCCACTGCGGGGGTGCCGGCTGTTAGGTCAGGGAGCTGCCGCGGTACGCGACTCAGGGCCCTCCTCTGTGGTTGGAACACTGTGTGTGTGTGTGTGTGTGTGTGTGTGTGTGTGTGTGTGCGCGCGTGTTTGTGTGTGTGCGTATGTGTCGCCACGTCCATTCGTTTAGGATCTGCTCACCTGCTCTCTGAAAAGAGTCACTGAACGACATTGGGGACGGATTTAGAGGCTCATCTCCCCCCCCCCTGCTTTTCGTTTTCCTTGTTTTTTTTATATATATATTTTTGAGAGCAATGCATTATTGGAATATCATTTTATTATCATTTAGACCGTGTAAATATTTTAAACACTGAATCATATCGGGTTTTCATGATGTGCCGAAACATTTTGAACTTGCACAATCACCAACCATCCACCTTCTTTTTATGTATTATTGCCAGACATACTGCAACTGTACCATAAAGTTGTCTCTCAGAGGGTTTTCTCACGTAGCGTAGGAAGCTGCTTTTAGTGAGCCTCGCGTAGAGAAGGTCTGCTCATCGCTGGTTTTTATAAAGTGTCGAACAGCCAAACTGTCTTAGCTTTGTGCTGCTGCTGCTGCTGTGATCTTGCATTTTTTTAGACAGATTATTAGTGTATCGGCATGAATTTTAGCGATTTATGGCCCTGCTTTTGCTGTCTCTTTCTCTGGTCTCCTGTTGATCGTCTCTATTTCTTGAAACCTAAAATGAAGCAGGATTTAGAAGTCATCCAGCTAACTTTGCAAAAAACAACACATTTTATCTGCAAAAATCGAATAAGTAAAAACATGTTTCACTCTGTTTTAATAAACTCAACATAATTAGCAGGGACTGCAACAAATATCCATTTTAAAGTTAGCCGGCCGTCCTATGCCACAAATCTCATCTTTCAGTTATTCATTGGTGGTGTTTAAGGCTTTACCACGACTCCTCTCGCTCTCTCTCTCTCTCTCTTTCTTTCTTTCTTTCATCTTCGAGGCACTGTGAGATTAGGAACATTGGTGATTTCGCTGACATCGGATGGATCATCTCTTGTTTCGGATCACCTCGGCCTTAACTCTTAATCTCAGACCGGTCGCCTTTTCTTTGCACATTACCAATCGCACCTCTTCTATGCCCCCCCCCCCCCCACCCCCACACACACACGCACCAACACGCATGCAAGAATGTCCGTCTCATTTGTCCGCTCGGTCCATCGCAGCCACGTCATCTCCCCACAAGAGGGCCAGAATGTATGCTGAATGGTATGAACACTGACCAGATGTATGTGGTTGATGCCTTTTTATTTTCTATTCTTTCTAGGGCCAGGGTTTTTTTTTTTTTTCTGCATTTTTTCCCATGGCTCCCTTTCTTGGTTTGGTTGAATGTGATGGTAAAGGGTTGTTATCGCCTTTGGTGTTAGCTGTATGAATCCATGGGTACTGCTGAATGCGTCCCTTTTCGAAAGGGGGGGAAGAAATGCTTCTTTGTGGTCCTGAGTGTTTAGGGAGGGAGGGAGAGGGACAAGACTGAAAAGTGGGGTGAGTCCACCCAAAAGGCCCCATCAACTTCTTGGATCATGATACGGTGAAAATGCAGGATGTGACTCGTGATGAAGCTATTCTCCATGGTGGAGTGTTCTGTTTTCTTTTTTCTACCTGTTCTTCCATTGTAAACCGCATCAGCGTACCTGTTGTTGCCTCCGAATAGTGGACGTGTACCATGCCTTTATGAGCATCGTCTGCTGCGCTTCATCGCCTCAGCGCTGCCTTGCCTTTTGGGTGACTCACCCCCCCCTCTCTCATCCTGACTGAGTGAGATGTGATTGCTACTATAGGCTTATACAATACTGTACATAAGAGTTCACTCTGTGAGTGCACATTTGATAAAGTTTATTTATTTATATGTAAGCATTTAATAATAAACAGACAATATATTTAAAACCTTGGCAAGACCTGAAATGTCAGGGGGGGGGTTGGGGGGGAAGGGCGAAGGGATGTGGCTCGAGTCCACGCTTACACTAGTTTGCCAGGTCTCACCTGTGCTCTTGTCAGGGAGGGAATATTTAAAAAAAAAAAAAAAAAAGGATGGTTCTGTTGTTTTGGGACTTTTTTTTGTAAAAAATAATCCAGACATCGTTGCATGACGACATAACGAGGGGGTTCCAGGTTTGGCTGCACTTGAGTTCACGTGGGTTTACATTTGAAATGTGCATGTGTATTCATACACAATCTTCAATAAAGTTGTGTAAAGCTTCCCTCTGGCTGTGGCTCTCTGTTGCACTGCAGTGCCTCGGCCTGCGGTGCGCGTGTCTCATTCAATGGCTAGACTCTGTCTCTGGAGTGTTTTACTGTGTATTCTTCATGAATAATTTAAAAGTACACGTTAGTTCTCACATAATGGGAAGCAAAGTTCAAGGGAAATACCAAAAATATACTTTTTATGATCATTTAATTCTTGCAGCTTTCAGCCCTCTGAATCACTGAGTTCTCGTTGAGAATGAATTAAAACAAAGCCTTCCATTTTATTTAGCTCTCTCTGCTCCAGTGTGTGCAGCAGCTGCAGGCTGATCTGTGGAGGAGGAACACGGTGTTCTCTCCGGGTTCTGACGGATTATCTGCCCGCTCACAGCTGGGAGGTTCCCCGGAGCAGCGGCTCATCCTCCTAACCAATGAGGAGGAGGAGGAGGAGGAGAAGTGCTATGTGCAGGACAGTGGATCACTCGCGAGGAGAAAACTGAAACCAACCTACTGGGTTCAAAGAGGTCGTTATATCCTAAACCTAAATGCTGATGTGGAGCAGAGAAAATAAATGTTTATTTTTAATTAGAGTATATATTTTAGTCTGTTCACATATGACTGATGTTACAATATGATTTCCATTGATTTGATTTAGCAGACACTGTTGGTTGGGGAAAAATAAGCTCAACCAGCTGATGGCGCACTCACTGCGTTTTCCTCTTCTCAGTTTGAGAGTTTTGGAGAACAACCCGTCAGAGTGAGACCTCTGCGTTTTCTCTGATCTCCGCTCGTGCCTACACCCGTCCTGACGTTCCCCGCGAATTTTATCCACGCCGCTCCGACCAAATCCACTCATTTTCCACACCTACCTGACATGCGGCATTTTCGGGGAGAAAAAAAGCCAAAAGAAAATCGCGTGTCGCCCCGTCGTGGATTTGAACACGCGTTCGTGTTTTGAACCGAGCGGGTTTGATTGCGGGACAACTTTTCCTCGCGACGCAGAGGCAGAAACAGACAATAGATTATAAAACAGTCTGCTGCGGTTCAAGCTGCAAGGTGAAGCACGGGAGACGAGGTGGATTTTTTTTATTTTTTATTTTTTTTGTGCAGTTTCTCACATCCGAAAAAATCCTGGTAATATTTATACAACGATATTCGTTTATTGTTTTTTTTTGGTAGTCTATCTCGAGTGCAAACAAAATACTTTAATACATTAATTTCCTTTCAATACTAAATTACATTTATTGTGGTGTTAGTTAAAATTGCTAGACCTTGTGATATGTTTATGGTGATCTTTGCACGCGTGATTTATTGTTTTGATGACTGCAGCATTGTTGCGTAGCCGAACTGTGCCGATCACAAATAGTTTTCTTCGCTCGGCTCATTCATGTTATGCTAGATTTTTACTTTTCAATGCCATTGTGTAAAAGCAACATTAATACCACAATCACCATTTTTTTTTTTGTAATGTGACAACGCGTGTCGCCTGTGCCGCTCAGGAAATCCACGGAGTGCCCCGCCGCCCTTACCTGCCATATGCCGTTTTCACCGAGGTCATCCGAGGAGAGCAGAGGGTGCAGGAAATATGTGAAAGGTACAAGAGGTGCGGTTTCTTTTTTCATTATTTCTTTGGGTGCGGTTTTTTGTCTCGCTTTATTGCGGCCACGTTTTTTGCGCGCACGCCATATTCCCCCGTGCGCTTTTACGCACAGCGACACGGACTGACCGGGGATTCCGATTGAAAATGGAACGAAGAGGACAAAAGGAAGAAAGACGCTGAGAGCACCGGGGGCCAAGCGCTGGTTGAGGTAGTAGTTTGTGCTGTTGGTCGGGTAGTCATATTACCCATGTGGAGATGACTGCGCAATCTACTGCCTTGCCGGCGCTGGTGACTTGCGACGGAGGAGTCAAAACCAGATCAACGCGAATGGCTGAGCTCACTCCGAGCTCACTGTGCTGTAAACAGAATGAAGTGAACGGTGAAGAATGTGCCTTTAAAATAATCACGTCTCTTGTGAAACTGTTGTGCGTAAATAATCAGGATAAATGTGTTAGCAAGGCTCAAATATCTCTGGTTTTATATATTACATGGAATAAAGTGATTTTAATGGCATCACCGGCGTTTGTGTTTCTTATCTTTGTTACTTTATTACCCAACGAAAGTCAGAACGAGTCAACGGGAACTGAAATTTGTTTTCATCTTGTCTTTTGGATTTCAGATAATTAACTTCAATAGACTGGAATTCACCTTCGGGCCTGTAAAACATAATCGGTGGAATTTAGGTTAAGTTTAGGGACTGTACAAAAGTTAGGTTAGAGGAGTGTGTATTGTTTTATAGGTCTTTTAGGGGGGGCGGGGTCCAAGAGTTTTGGCATATAATTTATACCATTTTATATTCTTTGTGCACTTTTAGTTATTAATGGCAAACTGAATTAAGCCAATCAATAGTGTTGTATTACTATTCTATAATGTGGGGAAGGTGTAGCACTTTTTCCAAAGAAAATATTAACAAAAAAATATACATTTTATTTTTAAAGTTAAAACATAAACCGGCCCCCATTTTCTCACCAATCTCCTTTGTAAGGTCCCTTAAGAGGCCCATGGTTTTGGATAAAGGCAAATGTCAAATGTTATCAACCTTTAAGTGGCCTTAGAAGTAAATAAACCTAATCATTTAAGTTGTACCAGTTAATACAAATACCACCCAAATAATGATGACATTCATCTGTTTCTCTTTGCATGTCTTCTGTGATTAATGAAGATGCAAATACAATATAGAATCGAGGCGTTTACCCAGGTTAACCTCTTCAGTAAGAGTTGTGTGTGTATTATTGTTCTCATTCAGTGAGTCCACATGATACTGGATGAATCGACCCGGTTCTGTGCTGTAAAACGTTTGAGTTTCAGTGAGCACTGTGTAGTTCCACTAATGAATCCCTCTGCTGACAACTCACAAAGTCCAAACTACTCTTTTGGAGGCCCGTTGACCATTGATCGTTTTTTCTTTGCTTTCAATGAGAAGCCAGAGAACAGAAACAACAATAATATTGATTAGTTCTTCTGCACGTCTCCTCTTTAGTTTCTTGCTCCTTCAGATTGATTCAGTCTGATGAACTGGTTTGGACTGCAAGCGGAGAGGAGAGCTTGCATATTGAGTGTACTTGACATTCAATTCTTGCTTTTTTTAATGATGCAAACTATATTTGTTTTTTTACATTTATCTGTGACATTTATTTTCTTTTTTTTCATTTCTGGAAAAGAAACACTGAAGGTAAACATTGCTCTCTTTTTTTTTGCACAAGGAAACATTAAAAATATTTCTTTTTGACTTCATACGTTATCTTCTTGTTTTACAAAATGTACATTTCACATTCACATACGGGGAGGTTGAGGCTAGCACAATGGTCACTTAATGTTTCCCCATGGGCTTCAAACTTCCTGTTTGCTACAGAAAAACCCCCTTCCAGCTTTTCTCCTTTTCCCCCCCCATTACAAACTTTATCATCTAAAAGGTAAAAAAAAACCCACAACAGCAGTGACTACTTTCACAATACAGCAACTTCAAAAAGGGAAACCTACAGTCGAGCTGAAGGGACAAAGTAAACTTTCAAGAACTTCCTCGCTCACATACTTACAAATGTGGTGGAACCAATAAACCGCCTTTTAGAAAATCACTCTTAACAGCTTGTCCACTTTACCCACTCATGATAATTGATCCTGAGTTGATGTGCAGCAGTTGGATGGCACAGTGGGATGAACAAATAAAACCATATATTCATTCTTTGACATTCATCTAAGAGCACAAGGCTTAATGACGGGTATGAGGATGAACATTCAACACTGATGCCTCTGACGTTGTCTCAACATGTTTGCAGTTCAACACATTTCCACAACTGGGAAAGACAATATGCTTAGGTGACGGCAGGACAGATTGGACTCAACAAATAAAACAAAAAGACATTCAATAAATTAAATACAGAACAAACTTGGTATCTGTGAAATAGCTTGTATGATGGAATTATGACGCAACAGCAAATAATGACATATTACAATACAGAATTTTTAAATTCAATTTTTCTTTCATGGAATGTACAGGAGGAAAAATGCACCGTATGAATTTCAGACAAATGTAAATTTGCTGCTGCTGCTGGGGGGGAATGTCGGTAATTGTCAACAGCAAAAAAGCCAAAGCCAAGGTGATAAATAGCCCATGCTACACAATGGCACATACCATGTGACGTAAAACAAAAGTGCGACATTTTGGGAAGTGCCTTTTCAGAAGTTTTTAATTTAATGCTGGTATTTTTTTCTCAGACTGGAATCAAACTTTTCAAAAATGATGACTTGTATTTACTGATCCTGAAGTGTGCAGTTTCTCCTTCCACACCAGACTTCCTGCACTGCGTCTCAGCCCAGTGTGGCTGGCTGAGCAGTGTAGCCGGTATAAACGCAGATTAGGGAAGGAAAAAAATACACATACGTGTCTGAGGTTAAGACCCTTTTTTCAGACAAGCGGAACTCTTCTTGGTCGCTTTTCTTCTTTAAGTCCAGCCAACATGATTAAAAAAGTGAAAAATAAAAAAATTAAGTTCTGTGTCTGGCATGTTTGTTTCATTTCATTCCCGTCTCTCAATACGAATCATACCCTTAGCTCTTATGCTAAATGTCTGGGATGCTAATAACTCTTAAGGAACAACCTTAGAATCATAAGCATGGTCTATATGCACGTCTACAAACAAATGACATCATCACTAACGCTTTGATACATTACAGAAATACAAATTCAGTCCATATAAAAACAAACAGCAGTGTAAACCATTGCACCGTCGCTCGTATTCCCAGGCCTAACATGTCACTGCATGCACTGACAAAAATCACAACATCCAGACTCAATACACCGTTACTGCCAAACCTGTCCCTCTGAAGACAGATGGGCTGTGTATCGAGCATGTAAAGCGCATGAAACATGCAAAACATGTTAAAGGAAACGAAAAGTTTCAGTTTCTTTCTCCGTCAAACTTTTGTTCAGATTGACTTTGATTGTATTTTGTGATCGTTTTTTTTTTTTTTTTTAAAACAATTATGAATTTAATTAAATCCTCCCCTGCTGCAGGGAATATTTGCCCCCTTCATCATTTCACATGTAATGGCTGCTTGGTTAATGATGTGGGTCGGTCTAAAGTGCGAGCATCTCGATGTACAAGTCGTCTCATCTAATGTTTAGTGTTGTGAGGGTGTCGCTTTTTGGAAAAACTAAAGTAATAACACAATATTTACTAAAAGGGTTTACGGTTGACATTTTCGGGAAAGCTTATTCGTTAGATGAGAAAAATTGATACCACTCTCACATCTGTACATTAAATACGAAGCTGTAACCAGGAGACAGTTAGCTTAGCTAGACAGGAAGTAGCGGGGAAACAGCTAGCCTGGCTCCATCTAACGGCGCCTACCAGCACCTGTGAAGATCACAAGCAAACATGTAATACGTCCTTTGTTGAATTCATACAAAATATGTGGTGCAATGTGTTCATTTTGAGGTTTTAGAGGATGTTTTCTACCTTTGTACAGAGGTAAGTTAGCTCCCCCTGCTTCCAGTCTTTAGCTAAGATAAGCTAACGATATACAAGCGGTATCAAGCTTCTCATCTCACTCTCAGCACAGAAGCAAGTGGTTTTCCCTAAATGCTGAAACATACATGTTTCATGAACTAACTTTTTAACAAAAATAATAACATCCAGCCAAGTTAAAACACCATAACCATGACTGCTGTTCACCAACTAGCTGCAACTAAAAGTCACTGAAGACCAACAGATTCATTTTCAGACTCCATATCAGATTAAATGACTTGTACTAGTGAACATCTTTTTCCGTGCAGATGTTTAAATGATGCCAATTTTCAAATGACACTTTCATCTGATATATATCACATTCATACAGAGCTCCCACTCTGATTTGCCTTGCTACTGTGAGGTGGTCAACTTCAGGTCCTCGTCTCTCTTCTTTTCTCCGTCCGCATTCTTAAAAAACATGATGTTCACCCTCCGACCCCAACCCCTGACTTTCCACGTGACAAAAGATTTCAGGCTTCCTGGGCTCACACCAACTGAAAGCCACAAAAGATTTATGCTCGGATTAGGTCGAGCCAAAATCTCATCGCTGCAATCAGTCTGTGATCTATAAAGAAAATGTGGAAGCAGTTCTTCAGCGAGTGTGTCCCTTCGAAGCCACACTGTGGCAAAACAGAAAACGCAGCTGACCTCGTCAGCCCGGTCCAAGGTCTCAAGAAGACGAAGGAGGTTTGCTTTTTATAAACAAGTTGACTGTACAGTATGGGAGACAAGGGGAGGACTGAAAGAGTGGTAAGAAGAGGGGACATGTAAAGCACTGCAAGAGAAGTAAGAAGGACAGAAAGGAAAGAGGTCCTTGATTCGTTTTGGAAGAACATTCATCTATTGCAGCTTTCACATCTCTGCAGAAGTTCAGGGCCGGTCGCATTTTTTCTTGACAGTTTTGATTCGTGACAAAAAAAAATCAAATCAAAATGACCATGTTTTTCTCACTTTAAAAAAATAGACTAACAAAGCAGAGCTCACTGTAGTGGTCCCCAGAGCAGCCAGATTAGGTGGCTGACCAATTCTGAACTCCGATAGAGATATGAAACACCGACAAATCTAAACATCCAAACATTAGGATATCCTTAGTCTAAGGAAGGAAAAGTGCAAACGGCACCGAGGAAACCGAACGGGGGGGATTCTCAGTTCACATCGATCATGTTGGTTTTCAGAAGCCGTTGAACCGCAGCCTGTCTGTCGGGGCTCCTCAGGGCTGAGGGTTGCCGTACATCAGCGGTATGATGAAGGCAGAGATGTCGTCTCCGGAGCCCAGACGCTCGTTGGTGATCCTCCAGCCTCGGTCTCTCAGCACGCCACGCGCTCGCATCACCAGGTCTTGTGCTGCCATGGTATACCTGGACAGCAGTGAAAAACAACAAGAAAGCCTGTGATCCTCAGTATGTGGGGGCCGAATAGTTTCACTAGTTAGTCATTATACCGTCCCACTGGATTATTCTCCGTTTTTGCCTCAAAGCACCTTCTTCAGTCATAATGCAGACAGAAACACTTGACATTTACTGGAGAACTAAAGCAGTAAAGCTGAAATTAATCAGAAAGTCTCATAATCAGGTTATGTTTTGTTTCTTTTCATTCATTCTGTTTTATTTTTCACCTCGTCTTTCCTTTGAAACACCTTCACTTCCCGCCCGTGTGATTGCCCTGATTAGTCCTACCTGTGTCTCATCACCCTCCTTTCTTTGTGCATTTAGTCTTTGTGTTCTCCCCGTCTTTTGTCAGTGCACCCACTGTGTAGCGTTCAGCCCCCCCCCCCCCCCCCCCCTAGTGTTAGTTTATTCTTAGTGCTCCAACTTTATTTCCTTCCATCTTGTGGATTTACTTCCTGATACCGATGCCAGACAAACTGCTTTAGAACTCAGTAAGTGTTTTACTTCAATTAATCATAGAAATCACTCTGCCTCTTACTTTTCTGCATTTGGGTTCAGTTCTAGTTTCTCTGCGTTGCAAACTGTGACAAAAACAAAGGCAGACAAATAAAGAACTTAAGAGAGAGGAAAGAATAAACAAGCAGCAGACCTGTGTAGGTCATCGGGGTCACAGTTGGCCAGGAATGTGGTGACGGCTTCGGCTACTTCCTGGTTGGAGAGGACGTCCCAGAGGCCGTCGGTTCCCATCACCAGAACATCATCAGCCCCGTGCTCGTGCTGAATCAGGTCGTATACCTTCACCTGCGTGCCAGAACATGAAGAGTTCATTAAAAAGGTAGCCGTGAAATGAATGGGCGTCTGACACAATGTCATACCAAAGTGAAAGATTCCTTGTAAGTGGCTCGCAAGATCAAGTACACTCAGTGAAAAGGAGCTGAAGTTACTGAAATCCATACTGACCTAGCCCTCACACTACTCAACGCGTGGCGTTTTTCACAACTTAATGAATTCAGGGCGGTTTTCATTCACCGAGCGCATCTCGAGAAACCACGTGAAAGACTCTGCTGAGGGGTGAAAGAGAAAGACGGAGACACAGAGCGCTGAGAGGAGTTTAGTCTTCCACGTGAACCTGGTATGAACCCCGGTTATTAATGAATTAAAGATCAAGCAGGGAGCGCTGGGAGGGGAAATGTAAAACTCTATAAGACAAACTGCAACACATCAGGAGATGAAAGAGCTTTGAAACCAGAGCCAGACAGCCAGACAGGTGAGCTTAAGTTCTCCCCACAGCAGAGGACCCTTTTTTCAGACAGACACATAGCTGTGACTGTCGGGCAGATACGACAGGGATAGACGCAGGGCAAGTCATGTGTTTGACTTCTCCTCTCACATAGGACACGTGTTATGAGTCAAAACAAGGTCAGGAATGGGTCTGGCAAGAACGAGGACGAATGGAGGACAGAAACATCTGCAACATCTGATTAGGGTCGTTAAGAAGTTGGTTAGTTGAGATTGTAACCTGCTCCATTAGAAGAACGTCTGACGGTAAATGGGTTTAAGGAGATAGATGCACTATTCCTCATGTTTGGAAAGCCTAGCATGACAAAATGAAACACAGGCCAGCTGCAAGAAAAGTTCCGACCTGCTGCCACAATCTATAACTGTTGGCGGTCAGATGGTGTTCTTATCGCTGCCTTTGTTGCCACATATTCTGTGTTTCTTGGCTCGTTACAACCACCTGTAGATCATTACATATCATGGTGTCCAACTCGGCAGATGTCTCCATGCATGAAGTACATAGATAACTGCTGTGTTGGGCCTAATAACAGGTTGGTATAGCCTTGTAAAAAATGTAGCCTTTAATTAAGAGAATATTTTTCTCCTTACATTTGGTTTCAGAGAAGAGTGAGTCACGTCTCCATGTTTAATGAGCTATAAAGTAGCTGAGCAGCTAATTAGCCATCTAGCCAGCAAACTGACTGCTGGCCTGGTACCTTTTGTTTGAATGAGAGCTCATGTCAGTCTGTGGCTCGTATGGTATGTAGCAGAAATAAGGCTTCCATTTACGTAGACATGCAATACAAGAAAAGGGGATGGCGTCATGAATCAGAAATATATAAATGTCTCCCTTTTGGTTTTTTGAACACAACACAGTTGGCCTTTGAGCACACTTAAGTCATCAATGACTGAGTTTGTGTCAGCAGGCTATATTTGCAGAGTTGGCTCTTACCTCAGGGCAACAGGAAAGGAACGGTTTGATGTAGATGTTGGAGTCATGAACTTTGAGGTCATGGTCACCAAGCCCACGGGTCACACCGATGGTGGCCAACACTCGTGCCTGTAAAAAAAACATAGACTGGTTCAGTTAAGCTTTCTTACACTTTTTTAATTTAAAAAAAACACGTGGGCGGCTCACAGTGCAGTGTGTTGCAATATAGCTTTGCATTTTGGTGCATTAAATGTAAACGTATTGGGTGGTGCATGAAACAAACATCACAATATGCGACTGTGTTCAGAAGTGTTGTAAGCACGAGGATATTCCTTTCGATTTCTATTCTAATAACAATCAAATTCCACCCGTTCATCGCTGTGTGACAACTCGTTTTGTCAACAGACATTCAGCAGACAACACTGGCGCCGTGTGGTCGTCAGATGCCGTATTCCTTTAGCTTTGTCTCGCTTCGCATCAAACCGAATTGATTGAAATAATGAAACAAACTGACATGACGGAAAATTCGAAGCGTTTTGTGCAATTTATTTGGTGGATTGCTTTCATTTTGGGTCTTCTTCCTCTTCTCCTCATCCCCTGCAGTCCAAGTGGGGATTAACTTCTCAGAGAGACGAGTGTCATCCCCGAGTGGTGTGTGTGTGTGTGTGTGTGTGTGTGTGTGTGTTAGATGTAGCTACTGGAGTGAAACAGATGGACTGTCTCATCTCTCTTCCAGTGAGGGTGTACATTGACACACACGTGCACGCACAGTGTGGTGCTCGCACATCAGAGGCCGAGTGTTCGCCCACTCTCTGGGTGGCTAGCAAGCATGCAGTGTGTGTGAGTGTGTGTGTGTCAGATTGACAACATTAGAGCGAGTGATTTTCTCTGCAGTTCTGAATTCCAGAGTAGATGTACAGAACTTGGAGTAGACTTACACACACACACTTACCTTTTTCCCTTCCCCATATATTAGTGGAAACTTGAGATCTTCATCCCCAATGGTCTTGTACGCCCTGTGTTTGAAGAAAGAATAGAAAAGCAGAACAAGACCGAGAATTTAATCTTTTCTTTTCTTCCCGTGTGACACATTCACACTCAAGAGGTACATAATGGAGGGAGTGAGAAGAGCCTCTCCCTCAGGTGCATCATTATCCATCCAGATGTAACTAACTACAGTCGGACTGATGCTTTCTAGCTGAGATGTCTCGCATCTTTAACGGAGCACGTCAGCGATTCAGAATTAACCGTGCATTAAATAGTGGGACTTGCTGGAGTCAATCTTCCGAAAAGCGGTCAAAATTGGTGCGGCAGGAGCCAAGATACCCTGACTTTTAATCCCTAGTATGGGATAAGCTCCAAACAATACACTTCCCGTTACCTTGATGACATCATTAGAATTATTTTTACATTTATATTAGAAATTATATAAAACTGTTGGCACAGGCAGAGTGGGGTGTGATGAATGAACTGATCTTGATGAGGCAACATGGTGAAGTGTAAAGTTTTAACGTCATTATTTAGCGAGAGAAAAGTGAGGGGGGGAGGGGGTCTTCGACTACACGAGCGAACAAGACAGAAATGAGTTCAGAAGTGCACAAACGGAAGCAGAAGATCTGAAAACGCACTTAAAAAAAAAACGGAGCTTTGATGTCGGACTGAAAGACTCTGCGGCTGACGCTGATGTACTTAAACTAGCTAGATTAGACTCGGTGTCACCAGTTCAACGGAGAAGATCAACAACTTCAAACGGCTTCACGTCTGACCAGGGTTTGCTCTGTCTCTCTCTCTCTCTCTCTCTCTGCCCATTTGTCTGTCTCAAAAGCGAGATGTGTACTTTTCCCGTCCCAAAATGCAACGCTCTGTCTGGCCTCTGTGCCTTTGTGTTGGAACCTCGCTCGTCAAACTGAACACCTCTTGATCTGAACAGCGAGTCACACGCTGCTCCGATCTATCCGGGATGTCTCTACACGAGAACCATCCTTCTCAGTATTTCCGAGTTCCACACATTTAGTTCTTCATTATAAATGCCACCCTTTTGCAGTTGCCCGCTGCTCAAATGTGGGGTTTTGTATCTTAACATCCTCGGGTTTTAGACGTGTGCTTATGACAAGACGAGCGAGTTGTGGCGTTTGGTCTCTTTTCTTTGTTCTTCCACCCATGCAGCACATTTTCACGCTTTCACTCCCTGCACTGCTGCCTTTACAGTTTCCTCCCATCCATTTGTCTGACTCCCACACTTTTTGGGGTGATGAAGCACTTTATTTGATAAGTATACCCGAGATATGAAGAAAATCGGGGAAAAAAAAGAAAAGACTTCAAACTACTTCCTTGCTTGGATGTGAAGGGGAACATGAACAGTAGTCCACACAGTGACACATCCTGGCTGGCACATATCTGCTCCTGAGGGGCGGTCTGGTGGTGAAATATACATCACAATGCACACTATGTATGTGGCTCTATGCACCAGTGAGCGAGTGTGAGTGAGAGAGAGAGAGAGAGTATAGCGGTAAAAGCACATCTCATTACCGGCTTCCTCTGAAGCCACAGTCAAACAGCATGGTGCACTGCCAGCCCACAGAACACTGCACATGCATCCATCTCTGCTGTATCGTTATATCATATCAAGTTAGGCTGCTCCCTCATTAGCTCTCTGCTGGTCTCTGGCTGTACAGGAGGCTGTGAGCAGCAGTAAAGGAGGGCAAGGGAGTGAGAGAAGCTGAGATTGAGATCGCAGCTAATGGAATATAAGGCGGGTGCAGCTGGAGATGTCTGTTTGCCATGCCGTAACATTAGCAGTTTCCATTTGGGAGGTTCAAATCCCAGTGAGGCGGGTGCTTCCATCTTAAAGCACAGGGGTCCGCCATCTTGATGTGCTTCGTCTGCTCGGTGAAAAAAAAAATAGAGCGTAAGACAGATAGTGAACAAAAGACGGAGGGAGACTTACCATCCGTTCATGGTGAAATCTCTGTAGAGCATCCTCTTGCCCACCTCCTTCCTCTGAACTCTCCGGGGAAATTCCAGGTGTGTGAACTCATTTCCTAACAGGTGAGGCTGCATGAAACCCTGGAGGACACAACGATGGTCTTCAAGTCAGTCAAGCAGCTAAATGTGTGCAGATCAAACCATGAAAGCCATCTTTGAGGCTGATAATATGATATTAGAGAGTTGAAAATGTCTTATGATACACTGGCCTCCTTTGTTTTACATAACATTAAAATGCCTTAAATTTGGAAATTAATATATAATACTGTACGGAGATATCTGTGCAGGCAACATTGGCAGTCATAAAGAGCTTTCCAGAGAGTTCATCCAAACATCATCATTGAGATGTATTCATGAAACTAAAAGGAAACATGGAAGCGTCACTGCTCACTGCCACTGGCTATAAAAAGGTCAAACAGGGCCAGCTATTCTCAGCTGTGCTCACATTGCTTGATATTCCCTGTTACCCAGCTCTTTAGGAAATGGATGAAGTTCAGCTGTCTTGCTGATTGTGTTGCTTGTTGTGTGAACACACGGCGTGAGACTGTGGCCAACAATAGAGCGCTGCAGTCCAGGAAACGAGACAGAGCTTTTTGCACTTCCGGTACCCTCGACTCAAAGTCAGACATTTTTAGTTATTTTATGTATTATTTTTGGTTAGATCTAGGTCTGTGGTTATAATGAGCTCGAGAGACACGCAAACACTCCTTACGGCTCAGCGGTTTTCTCACCAGGAACTGGAGTCGCTGTCGTTCTGATTCTGGCGTGAACTCTTTCGACACGGGGATGATCTCGTTGTTTCTAATAATGATAGCCCTGCAGACACAGAACAAAAAGTTGGGAGAGGTAATGTACAGGCAAAAACCTTGAAGATTCACTTCAAACGACCATATTTTTGGGGTGTGATAATAAGCCAATGGATGTGTAGTATGTGTGCTGCAGAGGCGTAGCAGCAAAAGAAGGTGAGCTGTGAGAAGGGAAAGACAGAGGACACATGGAACAGCTGACTACCCCTCTAGTGTCGGCCAATTTCCCTGCTGAGGTTGGCCATGAGAGCGTCCAAAACAGCGGGAAGGGCGTCACAAGGCACTGACATCACATGTTTTTGGGTTCCTGTGCTGCGGTGTCATTATCAGTGCCTGATTTAGAGGCTCTTTCATATAGTGGACAGAAGATAAGCATACACACCTGCTGTCGCCTGCATTCCCGATGTAGAGTTTTCCAAGCAGGTAAACCACCGTGAGAGCCGTACATCCTCCTGTGATGTTGTGGACTTGCTTCTCCCTCTCAATCTGGGCATCCTGGGAAAGCGAGAGACGGTTGTCAATCTTTAATGAAGATTCACTTAAGAAGCACAATCGGGGGAAAAAAACTCTCTCATATCTAACCACACAGTAAAAGTTAAAAAAAAAAAAATCCACACTGTGTGCAGCCCACACAGGCAGAGGGACGGTTTAAATACATAGACTCTGCCTTCGTCTAGTTAATAACATTCATAAATATGACTGTGAGGCCGTGAAGAAAAAAAGATATGGAGGAAAATGATCAGGAACAGACACCGAGCAAGAACCAAGTCTGAGAAAATCAGATCGACTTTTTTGTTTGTTAGAAAGACACTCGATGTGTAAGCATCGTTGTAGACTATTGATCGCCACACACACACATTTCATAATGCTCATTAACTTGTTTTCAGTTTGTTTGTCTGTAATTTCTTTCTTTTTTTTTTTGCATTCCAATCTTGCAGAAACCCTGCAGACAGAAGGTTGACATCTTCCTACCAAGACTACGGCTTTAAATGACGCAGTGAAAATCTCCTACAAAGGGATGTCAAGTCAGATGTAAGAGAGCTTCTTTTTTTTTCCTCTCCCCTCGAGCAGACAGGGTGGTGGTGGGTTGATCGGAGAGGAGCTTTCACAGTGATCTTTTTAATCTGGGTACCGCAGGGTCCAGCTTGAACAGCGTGGACTGTTTTCCATTGCCATCTAGTGGTAATACCGCATAGACTTTGGCTTCTTCAGATACGTTGCCACAAAGCAACTGGAAAGAAACAGTGACGGAAAAAATAACAAAGAAACACACAACTGAATGTTACAAAATAAGAAAAAAAAGTTGATTGGCTTGTAACTTCAGTAATTTAGGAATTTTCTGATAAAAATGCCTCGTGAAAAAGCAAATTACACATTTAGTCAGATGCTGCCCTTGAACTACAGAAATCCGCAGTGCGTACGTGTGCGTTTAGCCGGCAGCCATCGGTCCATCAGCTCAGCTCTCTGAGGCCAGATGTCTAAATGAACTGTAAACAGAGACACTAATAAGGTTGCGGTGGGGAAACTATCTTCATGAGCACCTCTGTAAACCGTCTGTGTGTTGGTGAATATGTGTGTGCCTTTCTGGCCTCAGGTCAGAAAATCAGTGTGTGATATTATGACAGCAAAGACTAATTCAGCAACTGATACCAGCTTTTGTTTATCTGACTGTATTTGCATACTTGCTGAGTGTTCATGCAAATATGTACTGCATACACACTGGCAGTATGTCTATACAGTTTGACAGGTCATGCACTCCAATGCTAATATTTCCCTTCAAATAAGAAAATGTGGTGAAAATATTTCTTTTGTTTCCCATACATGAAATCATAATTCATTTAAATTAAATATCAGGATTTGTGAATCTTGTGAATTTATTGTGGTATGACTGCATTTCAAGATATCTTATTTCATATATCTATATATTATTATATGACACATCAACTGACCTAGACTATAATAAAACGCATCTTATTGTGTAAATGTACTCAACTAAGCGCTAAATAAACGACTAAATAACTGAACTATTTACCGACCGTCAGCTACAGAGAAACACATTTCTGCTTATGAATTTATGTCACGAGTCAACTGTCCATGGTCTTTATAATATTTAGTTATTGTCCTGATTAACTGATTCGTTGTTTGGTCTGTAAAATGTCAGAAAGCCGCTTCCAAGAGCCAGAGGTGACAAATTCAAATGTCTTGTTTTAGTTCAAACTCAATGATATGCGAGTGTGAAAAAAAATGACCTAGCACCAGACTCTCACCATCTCTTTAAAGGCGTTCTCTATGGCTCCTACCACCAGACTCTCATGCTGGATCTTCTTCTCTGTAAAGAAGCGAGGCGGAGGCGGGGTGTTGCACGGGGAACTCGGCGCACCTGCGGCCCCGCGCAGGGAGGTGGCCCGGGTCAGGGCCCGGTGAGGGCCCGGGGTGTTCCCCTGGAGGTAAGGGTTGCTGTCGGGCTCCTCGCCCAGGACGGTCGGGGGGAAGGAGGCCAGGTTGCGTAGGATCTCGATGACGGCCTGGAGCTGGCAGGCGATGTGGTGCTGCAGCAGGCGGGAGGCGACGACTGCCGCGCCTGAGCCGGCGTGGCCGTCGAACAAGGCCCAGTAGTGGAACACCAGTCCTTCACTGTCCTGCAGACACATTTATGAAACATGTATATTCATTTATTATCAAGTGGAAATACGTATAATCACATTCAACACGAATGATAAAAGGATTATAATTATTTTTAGCTCAAAGATGCATATCTTTACACCCACGAATCAGTGTCCCACCCAAACTTTCTTAAATTCTGGAAGAGGTGGGGTTTCAGTTAAAGAGCAGCTTTTAAAACGCATCAACAATGCTTTACATATGGAGTGTGCCACAGTTATCATTACAGACTCTTTTATATTTAGCATTTGAACTCTGATTTGGTTTGGTTGATCCCATTTTTGATGTATTTAAAAGGGGCAGGAGCCATCGTACAAAACGTCAGAATAATGGGGTCTCACTGGAAAATCTGTATAATTCATGTATACACATGTATGCAAAAATCCTATGACTCATCCTGTCCAACAGTGTTTGGAAGCTGCAGAGGTCAAAGCTCCTCATCTCTTCAAGTCCCTCTGTAGGCAGAAACAGAACAAGGCTCCCCCTCACATCTCTGCCACCTCTGTGCCATCACACACTCTGCTTGGTATTACCTGACCTGGAATACCTGACCCACGCGGTGTAACCCTGAAAAACGACTTTGGACGCAAACTTTTGGGAGTTTTAACTGAACGACCATCTGTCTCAACTGCTTCCTCTAAGAGAACAGTTCTCACAGTTTTTGTGACTGAAAGCCAATTTGCAGCGATAGAGCTTCACATGTGAACAAAAATACATATATCAAATTTAAATTAAAGTCCAAAGAAGTTCATTTTTTTAAGTTTATTTGGTTAAAATGACAATTTACTTACTTATTCATACATCTTATACGACTCCTTTAGTTTTGCCAGTATTTGGTCATCAACCACAGTATTGGGCAAAAGGAAATTGCGAGATGACGCCTTGATGAAAATTTAAGGGATCACAGTTCTTACACTTCATCCTGATGGGAACAAGTGATTGGAAATTGAATATCGTAGAGTTTGAGATGTTTCCTTTGGTTTTAGGACATCACTATTTTCTGATAGTTTACTGATAAAGTGACAAACAACCAATCGATTAATTAACATATGAACCTGTAGATTACTGAATTATTGAAATGATGGTTAGTTCCATAAACGCATCATTCTAGACGCATCATGTCACAACTAAACACACAACGGGAACCCTGAATGGCACATAAACAGCTCCCCATATACAGTACATGAATGTACGCTGTAAACCCTTTGTGCATATGCTGAAACATTGAGTGTATTTGTGTCTCCTTACCTCTCCCAGCTTGCCCTCTCCGTTGGGCAGGGAGTTGCGTCTCTTGGCCGTGGGGGTCTTGCTGGGCGTGGAGGGAGGGCAGTAGCTCATCGGCCTCCGTCTCGCTACGACCACCTCGCAGCAGGCTTGGTCCTCGTTCAGTGCACTCTTACCAGCATTAATCACCCTGAAACAAAAAGGCATGATACAAACAGATTTACTCATTTTATAGACATGCAGAGGTCCTAATATCAAAATCCCCATTTGGCAACATACTTTCGGGAGTTCATTTTCTTTTTTTCCCAGATACAATTTTGCTGCGAGCAACAGATGCGCCACTTGCTGCGATTGCCCGGTGTGACAGCTGTGGTCTGGAACAGACGGTTGAATGAAAGTCGACGTCAGATGCTTTTTGTTGGATGAAACAGCACTGTGGTCTCTCATGGTTATCATAGGATCACAGCAATTAGTCTAGAGAGCCTGCAGCCGGAGGTTTCTATCTGTGCGCCGGGCGAAGCAGCTGCTGGCTTTTGTGTGTTTCATGTTCCCTGATGAAGATCAAACAGGAGAGATTGTTTGTGGTTACCCCTCTGCCGGGAGTGTCCTGATGCATCGGGACACTCTGTGTGTGTGTGTCTTTACATGAATTAGAAAGAGAGACAAAGCCCACACTGTTTGAGGACAGTCACATAATAACTGTGGTTTGCATAGACGTGATCTGTCTCATTTGCTCTTTTCACACATTTCAGCATTTGACAACATTTCTTTAAGTACTGCTTTGCTTCTTTTTTGCGTTGTGGTTCACAAACGGCACAAGAAGCTAGCAGAAATACACACATGAGCACGGCCGAGGCCATGTTTTTGAATATAGATGATAAATTATGTTTTCTGTCAATTTTAAAAGTTACATTCATAGTAAATATAGTAAAAAAAAAAATCGACATTCATTTTTTGGGGGGTTGCAGCCCTTATCTTTGCCTGCTGAATAACAGCCCATAGCTACGGTAATGTGGCGGCTAGCGATACATGGTGAGAAAATACAGATCGTGGAGGCAGCTGCAGTGAGGCTGGCGAGTCAGACAGACGTCTCTGGAGGGTGTTCTGAATGTGTGTGCGAGTTGAGAAATTGGCCTATTTATAGACGCAGACGTTTGGATGTTTTCTGCTACTAGTGTGGCTCTTTGCCTCAAATGCTTTTTAACCTCCGATAGAAATAGAAAGATAGTGACAGGAGAAGCAGCGAAAACAAGCACAGAGATATTTTTGCAAAAGCGAGTATGTATTTTAGATTTGGCTTTTGCTGTTCCCATTTTTCATCGCCACATTATTTAATGTTGCTCTACGTGCCTGTTTTGCTGTCCATTTAACCGCTGCAGATCATGCAGCAGTTAAATGGGGAGGACACCAAATCAATAAAGGCTTTTGTATTTTCAATCTGGTTCAAGTGAAGCCATTTTGCTTTAGTGGAGTGCAGAGGAAATCCAATAACCAGGGAGCCCTTTTTAAAATGTGTACAGCAATATGGTGTGATCAGTGTATCAAACAGCTTATTTTGTTGGATAAAACTGGCACTGCTTTGGTTCTAAAGTGTCAGTCACCATGCATGCACAAAAGCCATCATTGTCCAGAGAGCTGGTCTTCGCTGTGATTACGCAGCTCTGCTTTCAAACCTAATATATTTCTGCTGCACCCTCGAAGATGCCCTCTGACGCATCGACCACTTTGGAGCTCATGATGGACAAGTCCGGGAAGTCTTCGTCTGCTTCATCGAATCAGCTGTCAACAATCGCAGTAATGTGATGAACTTTGTGTGTGTGTGTGTGTGAGATCATGTCCTGCTGGTTTTACTTGGAAAAAAAAGCATGTTTATAGGAACTTTTGAACCCTAGAAACTTTTTTTTCCAAAATAGTCCTCATCCTTCAGGACTACAATGTGTTTAATGGGTCCAATCAATAATGGGTCGTTCTGTGTTACTCTAGTTCATGGTAAGAGCAGCTGATGCCATTGTGTGTGTGTGTGTGTGTATGATTGAAAGTGCCCTTGCATCTAATTTATCCTCATTTCAGCATTTGCAGGAAGAATAATAGTTTGTTTTCTTTCAGTTCCCTGCCAATCACGGTTCATTCGGAACAATTAGCTTTCCTCCCATTAGGAACAAAGCCTAATCCCCCGCCATTGTCAGACATCTAATGCCCTCTTTGTTTCCTCTGCAAGAGATTCTGGGCCAGACAATGGCCCCAAGGATGAGATAATTATTTGGCGAAGCACAGTGGTTCATATGGCTTTGCCTCCGTTTAACTCAGAACGTCAAAGGAACAAAAACAGCGAAAGATCTACGGGTACAATGCATGAAACAGTCTCTCAAAAAGTCTACATTTTTGTACATTTTCTTGAAGGTTTTGGTCAGGATTGCACCACCACCTGAATATCAGAGATAAGAAAACACAACGGCAAAATGGGAGCGTTTGAATGGCATGCAAGAAGAATGGATGGGTTCTTCTTCAATAGGAAGTTGTGATGATGAAAAATGTACGCTAAAAATGTGTTTATTTCTCAGTGTATGTATTGGACAGTCGCAGTTCTAAGGGTGGTTTAGCAAACAGTCAATTCTGAGCACTTCAACAACAAAAATTGAATACGTCACTTTATATTGTCTTGGATTTTGCTTCATTCCAAAAAGAAAAGAAAATTTAGCAGAGTTCTGCTGTTTGGATTGTGAGCAGAAAAGAGAGTGTGTGAGGTGTGAGAGTTAAGAGAGGCGCGAGCCAAAATGGCTGCTGTAATGACAACACAGAAGGCTTTAATTACAGATGAATGGCGGTACGAGATGAACTCATTAACGACACCGGTCCCAAAGAGACACTCTTGAGTATCAGTGAGTGTGTGTTAAAGAGAGAAAGGAAGATGTGAGTAAAGACCCGATTAACAAACACTTTCAGTATTATTCTAACGTAATCCCGTGGGAGAAAAGAGAAGGATATATATATATATATATATATCCATGTACTGGAGTTGGTCATTAGTCAACTAACCTCACACTGATAACGCTTTCCTGAATGTACGTGACAACGGTCACGCGCCATTGTTCCAATAACAAACTGGTGGTTCTCTGCTATACTACAGTGTGTGGGTGCTGACGGGGCAGCGATGACGAGCATACTATGCAAACAAAAAAAAAACCTGTTCACCAAAGTGCGTTAAGACTAGTCAGCAGTCTGGAGCAGGAAAGCCATGGACAGAATATGAGGCTGCATCTTTTTGAACTGGTTTACTACACCGAGAGTGCAGCTGCATGCAGACACTAATACCCAGATGCTGCTGGTGCAGAAGTGGATGCATCATCCTCTTGCACGTGAACACCAGCTTGGGCTCTCAGGGTGGATGAATGCCGTTTATCCATGACGTCGGAGAGCAAAGGGGGATGCTGGGGATGGATGTGGGTCACAACAGGTGCCGGTCTGTTGTGATGGATACCTGCAAGCACTTAGGCCTCCACAAGACTTAACGCACATTATGCTTTATATCAAATGCCACTGTGATGATGACACGTTAAAGGCATCAGCAGATTTAAGGGCAGTTACTTACTCGGCGTATCCGGTGGCCCACGGTAATCTCCTCGTCTCCTTCAGGATGAGGATGGGCCGAGCTATGTGGTCCGCGGAACACTCGATCTCATCCTGGGACAGCCCAAGGAACTCGGGTCGCATATATGGGAATTTGAGCGGCAGCTCGGAACCAGCGTTGCACCCTCCGCCGGAGCTGCCCCCGGCCATGATTCCGCCCATGAACCCGGCCACCGCAGACTTGACCCGGGTGAGCATGTTGGTGGCGCGTCGCGGCGGGGTGTCCGTGGGCCGGTGCGCGGCGCCGCGGCTCCCTTTCCCCGGATTCCCCCCCAGCTCGGCCGTGCTGGTCGACGGCAGGCTTGATGGAGGATAAGAGGGCGGCGGAGGAGAGGAAGAGGAGGAGGAGGAGGAGGAGGACCTCAGACGGTTAAAGCTTCATTCATTCAGAGCGGAGACAGCAGCCGCAGCCGGAGGAGAGGATGATGAAAACGGCTATGATGCATTCGGTAAAGCCCTGCACACCCATGGAGAGTCATTGGTAACAGCTCGGCCGTCGTGAACGCGGAAATACATTGAAGATTAACGGGTCATGTGACAGAACCATGGCTGCACACTGCAAAAAAACATCAATTCCATGTTTTTATAAAGCCCACAATACATTTATTTTAAAAAAAGAATAAAGTAATATAATATAATAATATAAATAGTAGTGATATAAAAATAGAATATAAAACATCCAGTGGTGTGGGATAAATCGTTTTGTTTGCTACTGTATGACAATTGTAATCGTTTGATGCGATGAGTCATCATTAATACAGCTCTATTTTGTAAACAGTATAGGTCATGCTACACCTCTCTACTGGAAACAAATGGAAATTATTATAACGGATTCTAATTTATTTATACAAAACAAGACTTTAACGTTCGGCTCAATGTTGTTTTTTGCAGTGCAGGATGAGCAGCTTACAGAGGCTGACAGCAGGTTAAAGGTAATTCAGCCCTACAGTCTTTACACGGACTGGAGAAACCCTGCCCTTGTATTGTAGATTGTCCTAATCAAAAATATGATATATTGCAATGTAACACGTCATATCGGACGCTTGCGTCATGACAGAAATTATGATGATGATCATAAGAAAAAAGGAGTTCTGCCTTATTTTTTAAAGTCCCTTCTTTTGAGTTAACGAAGCAGCCCGAGCGCGTTTCCTGCAGCCTACACGCTTTAGTATTTCATTATACATCTGTTGAATAGCTCACCGGTCTGGTGTGTAGACACTTAGCTCTGTGATTATTTTGTGATATTTAATAACGGATAACTTCAGATGCGAGCGGCTGGAGCTGTGCGTACTCATGCGCATCATAGGACAACATGTATTTAATCAACTAAAAGGAAAGGACTTCGGACATAATCAAGCAGCCGAGGGAGATAGTGTTGGTAAGCGCAAACATTTTCATTTGTAATACAATGGAAACAATTCGTTTTAAAAGTCGTATTTTTCCCCTTCTTCTAGTATTATGATTATTATTAATATTAGCATAACTTGCTCTTTAATTCGCTAGGAGGACCCCTCCAATGTACTGTTTGACCACTCACATTTAGAAAAAGAGCTGCAGAGCATCAAAAGAAATCTGTTAATGGACAAATCATTAACATTTACAACCGTAAACATGATGGATTATTCCACTGGAGGAATCCCGTTTTTATGACTTGCAATAAAAACTGCAGACTTGGTGACTTATCAAGCCAATTTCCCTTGAGAGTTTACTAATGAATTACCAAACGTTATGACTGCAGCCTTGATGGTCCACTATCGATACAACCTTTGACTAATTATTGATGAATTGCTAACATTTATAACTTCATTATTATTATGTATGGGAAGCGGCATGACTGTGGGGGAAAAAAAAGGAAGGTATTGTAATACACACGGAGTCCCAGTAGATAGAGCCATTACACAAAAGTAGAGCAGCTCTGACCTGCTGATTACCCAATGATGACTGTGCAAGGTACCAAAAGGACTTTCTTTTTATTTATCCAGGAACTGCTTCAAACAATATTATAGTGCTCTTCTGTGAAATAGCAACAATAAACACTACAATAAATGGTCTTATGCCAACAGTTCTGTCATTGATGTTCGCTCCAGGTCTTGGTCATATACCCATATTCTTTGACTTACCTAACACTTTCGTTGAGGAAGCTCAAAGGTGTCACAGGGCTAAGGGCCAGATGCAAGTTAATAGCCTGTTATTTACACCTGCCTGACATTGTCTATGTGTGATTTGATTTAAGCAAGGCATGTGATGGGTGTGTCTCCTCTGTCTTCTATATGGTCATAGGAACATCAATTATAACATAGCTGGATAATGACTAGTATATGCTACCTGTTTTTTTTACGGGCGCCCTTGAAATGAAAGTATTTCGCATTTACGTCGTGGAAATATAAAAATCTGCTTTTAAAGGCCATGAACTCCAAGAATCACTTGAGTTTTGTTTTGCATGGAATTGAACTTTGTGGTTATCAGCTCACTTGTCCCACTGCTTGACCACTTTTATGGTCTTGCTTAGATGTTATTGCAGAACACTGCGTTTCAAAGAAGTTAAGTGTCTGCTAGTGAAACACAAGTGAAGCTATTGCACATGCAGTGACGCTGCAGGGTCACTGTTGACACATGCACCAAATACTTTTGCCTCTTTCTACCTCTGTTAACCCAAATTTTGTTAACCAGCCATCGGCTGCCACCAAGACCATCAGATAACCTGAGAATAATTAGCTTGTAGTTGGTGACATGGGTGATTTGTTCCCTGTGTCATTCCCAGCAATGGAATAGTAGGAGCTGCACATGTTGCCTGGAGACATTCTTGACAGTTGTTTTGTCTCCTTACCAGAACATGCTGCTCCTGGCATCACAAGTATAGGTCTTATGAATTACATTCTGTGAGAACTGTTAGTGCTTGACATGCTTCAGTCTGCCTGTCAACTCAGTATTACAGGGAAATACAATAGGTGTAATTATAAGAGGTGATGCACAGTATAAAAATAGCACTAACATTTTTCTGTATTTTAAAGACTGATTGATTTATAGCACCTATAATTATCTTTTTCTTTTGTCGTAACAATGGGTCAAATGACTGTTATGTAAAAGTGTTTGGGTTTACTCTCACTGCTCTCACAGTATTGTTTTTTTTGGCCCAACCCAGATGCTGTTTTCAGCAAAGAAAAGTTCTGAAAACCCACACCACACTACCTGTTTGGCACCAACCAGCAGACAGTCACAGTTAATAACATAGTGGAGCATTAACCCGCTAAAGAGACAGATGTTTCCCCTCAGGAGTTGGTTGAAAACTAAAAGAAGAGTAAACATTGGACTTCGCCAGGTGGTCAGAAACCCAGCATAAGTACTAGTGGGGCTAATATGTTAACTAACTGTTAACTGTTTGTCATATTGAATTAAAAGGTTATATTATGTAAGTGTGAAAAATAAGTGATTATTCTTTTTTTTAAAGACTAAGAATGTCTTTCCAGCTGCGTTCAACCGTGCAGTATGTTTTCCATGTTAGGGCATGAAGTAGTAGCATAAAGGAAGGAAGAGGAAGTTTTTTCTGTGGGGGAGTTAAATGTCAAGAGCCACTGTTATGGCTAACCGATGCCTGGGTCAAAGTAGTTTTGAACAGAAACATGACCTGCTCAAGAACATTTAAGTAGCCAACTCTTTCCCAATTTCTCTTCTGAATCTCGAAACAAGCAATTATGTTTTCAAAAAGGTTAAACTGGGTGAACACAATATGATGATTGTATCAAGTTGCATTCTTCGAGTCTCAGTCACCCTCTTTGACTTGAACCAGATTCAACAGCAGGACTGTTGTGTTCACAGTAAAATATAAAAGGCTTTTTGTTCAGGGAAAAGATGCAACAGGTATGTTTCTATCACAGAACGTTACAGTGTGACCTGAAGCAATAGTAAAAAGATGTAAGTTGTGAAATTTTGCACACTTCCAGTAAATGCAGATGTAGATTTTCTGGTGGTACAGTTTGTCTGTGTGTGTGTGTGTGTGTGTGTGTGTGTGTGTGTGTGTAGGGCAGTGGCAGGGGCAGGGATTCAGTATTTCCACTTAAATTGCTATACCAGTCAAATTGAACATTTTAAAGTGTGTCACAAGTTCCAATTATATACACGAAATTAAGAAGTTACGGGGACATGTAGTGCTTATATGACAATAAACCTTATTGGAAATGTTGTTGAAGAGGCAAATGAAAGTTTGTGTTCAAGAGGCCACACCTCCACTCAGGAACATTTAAATCCACTGTTTACAGCAGTTTGTGTCTCACTGTGTGCTTCACTCTGGTAACGTCACACTCGGGACAAAACAAACAGGACAGCCTCCTCACCATCTACCTACCTGTCATATTTAGCCCAAGCCACACCTGACCCTGCCGGAAAAGGATACAAAAAGATCACAGATAACCCAGGGACCCAGAGCAGCAGAGCAGGAGGAGAGAAGAAGTCTGTGTCTTAGCGCTGGCTGGTGAAAATGGTCCTGTGGGTCGCCTTGCTGATGTCTCACTGTTGTTTGGGTCTGATTGGAGCTGCAGCAGACAGCACGGGATTGGAGAGGATAGAGAAATGCGGCACCCGTTGTTCTCAGGTAAAAACTGCATCCTTTGGGACATTAACGACAAACAGACATATGCCGGTTGTCTCTGAGCTTCTAAATATAGTTGTGTTCTATTATTACCTCCTACGATTCTGCTGATGGTGCTGCTAGTACCACAATCCTGTGTTGCTGCTGCTGCTTGATGTTCTTCCATTGGGTGGCAGAAATATGTCAATCACAACTTCTAGTGCTACTACTAATACTATGATTACCTGTAAAGTCCCTACTACTATTAACAACCCTTCTAAATAGTTTTAGGTGACAGGGTGTTTGAGGTAAACCCTGAGTATAGAAACCCTAGATGGCTCTCTGGTCATGTGTCATCAGTTTAATTAGGATGAACGTGCTGCTGTAAAGTTATTTCCCATCATTAAAACTTCCTGTGTGAGTCACCTATTGACTCACTGACACATGTTTATTGAAATATTATCAGGTAAAAGTGAGCATATTATACTAAACGCACGCATGTTAAGGGAGCTGGTGTCGAGTCCTTTAAGGCTACAGTATTTTTTTTAATCCCATTCTGTATTACTCAATTTATCATTTACTCAAGCCGAAGGAGGAAACTAAAACAGCTGCAAATGTAGTTGGGTGGAGAGTGTGTAGATAACACTTACCTCTCTACCCTAGCTTGTTTGCTTCTCTCTCAGTGAACTTAGGCCTATAAGGTCTTCTTTCAGCAGCTAACAACGCCCCAAATATCCCAACACTTTCTTCCAGATGTGACTCCAATATGAATTGTGTTGGATTTCAAAAACATCATTACCTATGAGGTCATGTAAATATATACTGTTATGGGATACTGGATACTGCTTGGTCTTATAACACAACAATACCTCCTGAAGACAGTTCGAACAAAGAACAATTGAGGATTTATGCATATTTAGCATTACCCAGAAGCATTCAGTGACGTCTGACACGTCATTCAAGTGCAAGCTTGAATGACGTCAGTCATCACTGGGTGCGGGAATAGTTTGAATGCGAGTGTCTGGAATAGTTTCCACCTATTTCTTGGCTGATGAATAAACAAGGCTGTATTCTACAAACGGAATTGCACATGACGACATTGGTGATTGCTTGTATCACTGTATGAATGTTTGTCTGCAATTTAGTTTCATATAAAGTCAGCACAGATTCTTGTTGCAACTGCCAAATTAAAGCAGAGAAAGACAAGTGGAGTAATTGATTAATAGCTAGCTTTACCCGTTGTATTTGTCTGCGTGTTGGAGCATAACAAACTGCAGCATGAACACAAACATGTTGGGTTGTACCTGAAGGGTTGATGAGGATGTAAAACAGCTCCTTATTGTCTGGAAATCCCCTGTTCTGGAGCGTTGCTACCTTTGTTCTCTTTGTTAAGAATTACTTTATTAATGGAGCTCCTATTCAGGATTCAGAGAAAAGAGTTACAGGGTGTTTCACTTTTTCTCTGTTTCTCTCTCTCTCCTTGCAGGGCCTTCAGTGCAAGACCAAGCCCAACAGTGAGTGTAGACATGCATGGCTGCTACATCACATCTTCACTCATGCATGCACACAGAACTTGATTCTCAGAATTGCATTCAAGGCTGAAATAGTCTATGAAGCCACATCAAAGCACAGTGTGTGACACTAACGCCTCCGATAAAAACACAAATCATTTTTGAAGATCTGAAAGCAGAGTGCCCTACCTACCATCAAACTTTTATTCCCACAACTTGTTGACACACAATGAAAAAATAATAATGCACCGTAATGCACCGATGACAGGCATGTGTGTCGAATGAAACCTTTTAACTGTACTCGGTGAGGTGTTAAACCTGAGCGGAATTACTCCAGAGAGTGTTTGTTTGAAGAAGTGCTGAAGAGGAATCTCGATGCTGCGCATCAACAAAACAATCTTCATTGGACGGGTGACAGCAGAAACACGTCACTGGAACATAATAAAAATGTGGACAATTTTTGGCGTGACAAAAGTGACAGTTCTGTGAAAAGACAACATGATTGCATCGGTGTAAAGTATGTGTCAGTATGTTCCCTGTTAGATGATGTGTGAGGTGTGTTTTGTTTTCTCTGGCCCTGTCCCACGTAGATTGGTTTCCTCCTCCGTGTCAGAACCCCGCCGAAGGTCTGAACCGTTCCTCTGTGTTCCGTGACATCAACATCTCCACCGTCATGCGTTGTGAGGGGAGGCAGAAGTGCTCGCTGCACCTCCGAATCAAGACCGCATTCAAACTTACTGGTATGTTGATGTGACCACTTAAATCCACAAGACATTTACTACATTATTTGATCAGGAATGCCATTCAGTTGCAGCTGAGTTGTCCACCTAGTTAACCTTTCTGCAGGCACCTATAGGTGGGACTGGTTAGAGGTGGTTATCGTTGTTGAAAGGGTTGGGGATGGTGCAGGTTAACAGTGAAGGAAGTCTCATTTATAAAACAAACTATTTTCCACGATCAAACTTCTGCTTTTGCATCATTGGTATGTCAATTGACGTTTTTCTGTTCCTGATTTTGCACACAGACTTGATCTGATAAGGTGTGGGTCAAAATTCACATGCTGGCAGACACGTGCACACTTTTCCACCTCTGCAGCACACAATAATAATCTTTATGGATTTGCTAGATGGGAGTGGGGAAACCCCTTTGATCCTGATTGAGCCTTTAGTCCACAAAGCTAGTGAAACGTGACAAATGTTCTTCCTGTTTGACACCTAAAGTAATGCCAACTCATGCTGAAAAGCTTGAATAGTTTTTGAATGGCTAACTGCCTGGTTACTGTTTGATAACTGTGTGCTCAAGGCCTCTTCTGCCTTCTGACTTTGAGATATTTTTCTCCCCAGAGTCCATCCATGGTTTGTCCATCTGCACCGTCACCGCGGGGATGATGGCCAGCTGCCGAATTTTCAGCTTCAGAAGAGAGTTGCGACACCGACTCTCTGGGCTGCAGGTACCGTCAACAGTTATAATCGGTGTGATGCAAGAGTAACTTTTCTGTTAGAGTTCGTTTTCATGTCTCGCCAGTGTTGTAAGCAAGCAAATGCGTGGAGGTAATTACATTGCCAAAAACAGCAGCGTCATGACAATATTGTTCTGTGATACCTGGAAGGTTTCTGATCTAAAATTCTTAAGCACACGTGAAAAAAGATTTTTCCAGATGAAGACAAAATATTGTCAGATGACATATCAGTCGTGGCTTTGTGGTAAATATTTTGATATGTGGTTTATTTTTTAATATCATATATAGGCTACAAACCCTCAAAACACGGAATACAGCAGTTGCTAAGTTTCCAAACACATACATCAGTTTCCGTAATGAAATTTCGGAACCATGCCAGACGTGTAACAGCTTGTGCGTTTTTACTTTCCCTTTTCCTGAAGGTGGAAGTTGAGAATGATTGCACTGACGTTTCTCCAAGCCAACGCGTGCAAGTAACAGTGAAAACTGTGCCGAGCTACTGCGGGGTAACCTGGACAGGCACTTATGACGCTCCAGGTGAGAGCACGTGCATGTTTGCATAATTATCCAAACTAGCGCTCATGGCAGCACGACTGTTAACAAACAATACAATGAAGTAGCTGAGGATTGAATGTGTACAACATAGGAAATCCAAGTCAATAATGGGTGTTGCGTAACCTACCAAGTGTTTCCTTGCAATTTCTTGGAACAGGTGACATGAGGAGGACTGATATACAGTTATGTTAATGGTTAATAATAGAGAAAACTGTAGTAGGTGAATATTATGTCAAAGTTACACATGTCACGTTGCTCTAATCTTTATACCAATGACTATTAGTAGTTTAAACATTATTCCGTTTCTCCACAGAATGCATCAGTGAAGATTTGCGCAGACATGTCCCAGAATGCATCAGTGAGTACATACTAGGCATTGCATCATTATATCTAACACACAGTTTTATAAACCTGTGGTCTCCAACCTTTTGCCTTTTTAGCCTTTAAAACAAAGCCACATTTTTGAGTGACTTTCTCCTCTGGGGTTGTTTTATTTGAATACATTCTAGACAAACTGCTCTAAAGTAATTAAGAAAAGCAAAGACTGGAGAAAGACAGAAAAATAAAGCTTATTGTGTCACAGATGTTTTTCTTCGTGGTATGGCCTTTCAGCCCCTAAGGTGGCACCAACAACACCAGAAACCTAATTTAGGCCCCCACATGTATCCATGACCGAGGAAAAACTATCTCACTAACATTGACCTCTGTTTCGATCAGCTGGGAGGATATCATATGATGTGAACCCACAGAGGAAGGAGCTGAGTGTCAGTGTGTCAGAAACGTTGGAAGATAAAGACTACCACCTCCGCCTTTGCCACAAGGATTTCATCTGCGGTGGCACAGGGGCCTACACACTGGTTAGTCCCGCTGTTTCACATGAAACTGAAGCATCCTTTCAAACTCAAGATCTCTTCAAATGATGTTTGGGTGTCGGAGTGCCCTTTGTCACTTAAAACCTTTCTCCTGCTTACCAGTGTGTGAGTCAATTTACATCTAATCACTCCCTGGCCTACTTCTGTTAATTCTCTGCAAATGTTCAACTAATGCAATGCTGTTCTCTGATCCATAATTAATATTTAGAAGCATTGACCCCTTCACTTTTAAACCTCTTGGGAACTCTCACAGCTTGCTTGTATCAGACTGTGCCGGTGAAAAACAATGTGGCTAATCAATCATTTGACTCAGGAATCCCAAAACACACATCTGCTCACACATACCAAAGAAAGATGAATACATGTCATGTTTACCTTCCAGATAAAGAAGGGGGAACATGTAAAGAGAGCCACCCTCCCTTACTCCCGACCTCTGCCCTGCCTCTGCATCGAGGTAATGTTTCCGCCAACACGTTTATGATCTGTTTCTATTGGTAATCACTTTGAGGAAAAGGGGTTTTAACCTTTGCTAATACATTCCTCACAGGGATGGTCAGCTGTGACGGATGCCTCGAGAGTCCAGGTCTGCCCGTTCAAACACCGTGAGTCACTTTATTGCTTTCAGTCACGAGAAATTTGTAGTAATGTGAGCGTGGGGGGTTGTAGCATTTCACAGCTGATACAATATCAGTCGGAAAAGATTGAGCTCTCCCCCTGCCCGCAGGTCTCGAGGAGCTGTGGCTTGGAATTAACTTTGACCCGCTCGAGGAGACGCTCTCGTGGGAGCCCGTCTGTCCCGTGACTGCCGTGGTTGCGTTGTGTCAGAAAAGAGGGGACGGCGTCTGTGTGGATCTGCCTCACGCCTCACAGAATGTTAGCAGAGAAAAGGTACACGCCTTCTGACGCGTTGAAGCCAAAGTTGTGTTTACCTTGCGAGTTTTCTGTTCCCAAAAAACACTTGACGATGGTGTTTACATGATAAACAAAGTATGACATCATTCTGCTGACGTCTTCGTCAATGACTGAGCAGGCTTCATTCTTTATACGGTGGGAAGAGGTTATGATGACGGCAGTTTTTTTCTTTTGGCCAGTAACATTTGTCTCATCTCCCACATATGATGTCAGAGAAAGGAGTTTATAAATTAAAGTAAACTGTGTAATATTGCACTTGGCCAGGCATGTTAAACAGTTTATTTGCAAGGGAATCAAAATAAGAAAATGTTTATTCAAACCTCTTGCTTAAGCTCATTTAATTGTTAAATCAGACCCACATAAAGCTTATCCAAAAACTCGCTACAAACAGCGCAGTTGCAAGAACGAAGGTAGAGACTGCACACCTGTGAATCCTTAGATCAGACATTGGCATCAGAAGAAAAAGGGAACTCCCTGTTGATGTAAAAATAGCCAGCAGTGACGCAGAGCGACTCCCATCTGAAGGCTGAATCCAGCTGACCTAAAAGTGCTGCTCTGTGTATTTCATCAATAACTATTTCATCAATCTTTGCTTCTCAGATTACATTTACTAAAGTGGATCCACACCCTGATCTGTGCATGAAGGTAATGATCACTCTCTCCCTTTGACATACATCATGTTTGTTGTTGGTACAGTACAACGCTCTAGCTCTACGCTGTGGGCCACTCACAGCGTAGGTTACTGGCTAACTGTAAGCTATAAAGTGCCAGAGCTACGAAATGGGAAAGAAAATGGATAAACGCCTCTGTTTGAGAATAATGCTATAGTAGCCTATAGCAATTCCTCTGCTACGCCTGCTCATGTCCATATAAGTACACCCCCCACAGTAAAGGATCAAGCTTTACTGTACTCTGGTGACTGCAAAAAAAAAGGGAAACACTCTGTTCAAACCCTCATCCTTTGTAGCTCAGCTCAGCAGTGAGAGTGGTAATCTAACCTGGTAATCTAACCACAACACAGAAGTACTGCTGCTATTGTTATCTGCAGTTTATACTGATTTACATCAGTGGTTAAACAGTTCATTGGAACTATTTTATGTGGGCTTGGTATAATGTGTATAAAGAGGAGCACTATTCAATAAAACTATGTTCTTCAGTTCACTGCGGGCCATCAGTCCTGGACCAGGTGCCCCTTTGCTGATGCCAGATTCCAAGGTACTTTTTTTGTTTAGAGCAACATTTCCAATATATTATAACCATAATGCCACTATGTAATGTGGTATTGTAGAATTGGTCTCTGCAATGACTGCTGTATACTAACATTAATAATAATTTCCAGCATGGGAGGTGGTTGTGACCAGACTAAAGGGTCAGGAAGACGTGAAGATGTTGTCACAGATCACTGCAACCTTTTCTTTGGGGCTGTGTGCAAAGTCTGACGGCTTGACTGTGTGCCGGATCACCGACACGCACACCATGCACGTGGTAGGTGTCACAGAGAACGTATGAATGATCTCCTGTTCATACTTGTCAGACCTTTTAGTGACCCATTGCGTGCTGCATGGACGCATCTGCGTCACGAAGGAGCTGTCACAACGATGCTTGTAAAGATTGAGCGCCAGCTTCTTGTGTACCTGGCTTTTAATTGCTGGAAAGCAGCAGCTTTTCTCTTGAGATTTTTGACAACTTCCATCACACCTGCACAGCTAAACTCCTACGTTTTGTTTTTGTGTGTCTTTCTTCTCTTTCTCAGGAGAAACATAAAGCTGTTGGCCTGAACCTGGCAGGGGAACAATGCAACTCATGTTTCCAGGTATGTTTGTGTAGTTTTGAGGTAATCTGCATGTTCCCTCACATTTAGGCAGACACTGACTTTGAATACACATTTTTGTGTTTGGACAGGTGAAGAGGCTCGATGTGAAGTTTGCTGCCACGGTCATTCACTGTCTTGAGCAATGCAGTAAGTAGAGTTGTACTGCTCCCATCATGTGTTGTCTGTTACAACTCTCTTCTTTTCCCTCCTTTCACTTTAAATGTTTACAACCTGAGGCGCTGCAACAGTTTAAAGTGCAAATGGTTTCCAGTACCTCTTTTTTTAATAAACATGGATTGAAGCAGTAAGTCTTTACTGTCACGCAATCTCCAATAGGGTAATCACAAACGTATGTGTCTCTGAAGGTTGCCCTAAGTGGTTTCTTGGCAATATTTTGAGGAATAAAAGGATTCTTTGTAACAAGCATTGTGTACTCCACTATAATTGTGTGTACTTTGATAGATGAAACTCTTCTGTATAAACATAAGGGCTCTGCAAAAAGTGAAGAAGACCGTCTTTGATGCATTTCAGCTCCAATTTCTTTACGCATAGTTCACGACTTAAAACATTGAGAAACTGAAGGCAGAATAATGCATGCTGGTTGAATCATCTTTCAAATGTCTGCGAAACACAGATAATTGTTTTGTTATCCTCAAGAGACACTGAAATCCCATCAACCGAGTGCCACGAGTCTCATAGTCTTCACGCTGTGAATTGTCTTATCACAGATCAAACCGGGCCCGACAGACCTGTCGTCTCCAGCCGAGCCTCTTGGGACTTGACTTGCGTCATTTTACCTGCTGCCGTCTGCCTCTCTGGCATCATCATCTTCACTTTGGCCCTCCACGTACTGTTAACCGGTAGGTAGAAAATCACTCCATCAAGCTCGGGCATGCAGTATTGCCCACTCTTGCTCAAGGCTCCTGTGCTGCAGACTGCTTAAGGGAACCAACCACTTATTCATAGTGTTCTAATATAAATAAAAAACTGTTTTAAAGTCACACGTCATGTCAAAAAACAAGGTGATAATATTTCACAGTGCCTGGCATACTAAAACGAGCATACTGTAGATGTACTTTTTCTTTAAACTTGTATATATATTAGTTTATAGTAACCTAAAAACAATTGCAAGTACCATGAGTGCCCTGTATCAGGTAGTGCGACATGCACAACTTATTTGAATAAAGCCACTGACTTTGTCATTGTGTTGCATTTCCTCATCCTCCTGGTCTGATTAATCCTGTATTCTATTTTAGTGTATCAGAGGAGGAAACAAAAAATAAATAGAGGCTGCATCTCTGAGAAGAAAACAGGTGAGGTTATCACAATAATGATGACAAGAACACGCGTGCATTTTCAACCTGAAAGCTGAACCTATAAGCCTGTGTTTTGGACAGACCCTGCTTCTGACTGTGTCGTCCCTGTATTTCAAACACAACCTGCTCTCCATGGAGTGTTCCTCATTCCCGATTCACCACAGTATGGGAACACTGAGAAGGCCAACTTAATCTCTGACTGACCAAAGAACGGTGCTCCGGTCAAAGGCGTTACTTGTAATGTGCAGCATAAATCTGTAAAGTTGTTACACAGACCAAATGAGTCCTCTGTTGAATGCAGCGTACAATGTTGGGAGAGATATTTCAAATGTTATGTATGTTACTGTTTTTTTTTGCTGGTTATACTTGTTATAGTTAATGGCTGTTGTTATTCTGTTAGGTGTTATCTGTTTGGGTGAAAGTTAACGTGTATATTTCTTTTAAGTTAAAATATTCATTCAGCTTGCAGCTAAATGGTCCGTTCTCGTCCTTATTTAAATTTATATTTTCAATAAAAAAAATGCAAAATATGAAAGAAAACCTGCTCAATCTATTTTTCTCATAATGAACTTGTGGCCATAATGTCCACACGTCTTATTGTCCTTGTATCGGAAGCAAACAGTCACAGCTTTAAAAGTGGCACAGCACTCACAGCATGACATAATATGACAATTGGAAATGTCAAAATGACAGACATGGTAACGCTGCACGGTGGTGTAGTGGCTAGCACTGTCACCTCACAGCAAGAGGTGACAGTGCCGATCCCGGGTGGTCCTTCTGTGTGGTGTTTGCACGTTCTCCCCATGGCAGCGTGGGTTCCCTCCGGGTTCTCCGGCTTCCTCCCACAGTCCAAAGACATGCAGCTTAGGTTATTTGGAGACTTGAAATTGCCCGTAGGTGTGAATGTGAGCATGAATGTTTGTCTGTCTCTATATGTGCCCTGCGATAAACTGGCGACCTGTCCAGGGTGTACCCTGCCTTCGCCCAATGTCAGCTGGGATTGGCTCCAGCAGTGACCCTGAACAGGATAAGCGGTTTGGATAATGGAATGGAATGGGTAACGCAAACAGGAGCAGCGGGTTTAATCCTCTGACATGTCACCAAACTGGTATTTGTTTTACAATCTGCAATTACACTGTTTTGGTTCACTCTCACCGCTCTCATCAACCTTGTTTCCTGCAGCAGCTTCTGTCAGCCTACAAGGTCTAATAAATCAACTGCACACAGCCTGTGCCGCTCTAAGCAACAGACACACTGTGGTGAACATAGTGGAGCATTTAGAAAGCTAAAGAGGCAGATATTTCTCTCAGGGGTTGGTGGAGACCAAAAACAGAGTGGCCTGGGAATGACTTGATGACTCGATGGCTTCATCTTTCTGCGTACAGGAAGTATTTGCGCTTGGTTTACATAGGCAGATGAAGTTGCTCAGAAGAGGACAGGACACTGTAAGAGAACAGAGGCCTCTATGTGCAGACACCTACTCAAGTACAAGTGCACAAATCCACCTGTGATCAGGGATTTCACACATGAGGAACTTATCGCTCTAAAACTCTAAATGGGTCAGTCTTTTTGTCCCGGTGTGCTGGCAAACATTTCCTTGTTAGATTGGTTTTGAATGCAAGCATGTAAAACAAGATGAATAAAGTGTCATTCCAAAACTGACCACGTGACAGGAGGTGGGAAAGTGAAAAGTTTCTATTATTATCCTTTACCACAGGGCTGAAAACATTACGCAGAAGAGTATGTTCATCTTGCCTTTCCACAAAACCTGCCTACGCGAGAGATGCTTCCTCATTGTACAGAGAAATCAAATCTTCTTGCATGAGTCATAAAACATGTCCATGTTTGTTTTGGGAAAATATACATGAGCTAATATACCAATGTGTCATCATCTATCATAACTTACTCATGTTCAGGAAATAATTCAATTTGACGGTAAGCTGATTATTGCAATCATGACAGTTCATGATGACTAGGTAGAAAATCCACAGCAGATATCAGGTGATGGTTAACCTGGACCTGCAAATGTTCCAAAAGTAATTACTGCTTGCTCACTTGTGGTGTTCACCCAATTGCCACACTTATGTCTGATATTACATGCAGATGAAAACCTCGCTGTTTACATCTATAAGTAGATGCCAAAGAAAGGATCTCCATATGTTTTCACATGTATTTATTCAATTATTCATCTTCTCTAAATGTTAATTGTACATCCTCTCCACAATGCCAGGAATAAACTGGTGAATAAACACTGAATCATTTATTTGAATTGGCTTAAAAGTGGACACATTGTAATGTTTTAAGACTACTTATGGGATCAGCTTTTATAATAATCCCCATGTGTAAGTTTCCACATATAGAACTCTGTCTAGGTTGCTGCAACTACTGGTCTTTTATAGGAAAAGTCAATATGCAATTGTTATTTCAGAACCACAAGCTTTTGAAGAAATGTATATGAGCCTCGCGGTGATTTTGTCATCATTTGATATCTGATTTCCTCAGCACCTGGATTCTTCTAAGTGCTGTGAGTGTAGCTATAATACTATGTTGACAAGAGAAAATGTATAACTGTCCTACTGTTTACAGATTGTGAGAAAGCAACCAGTACACGGAAGGAAGAAAGAAAGAAAGAAAGCATTGTAAGAAATAAAGACACACCTAAACTGAACAGGACACAAAACAGCAAATGTCAGCCAAGAGAAAAATGGCCAGTGGGTGGTTCTGCCCTGATGCTACCCCACCTGCATGAGATTTCATATGAAACGCTTAAACTGATAAAAGCAGAACAATTATCTTCATCAAGTTATCATAAGAGTGAGGTAAGGTTTTCCTTCAGCTTGCCTTTCCGTCTAGGGCTTGGGAACAAAGACCTGACTGAACAACTGATCTGCTTGCAACATCAGGTATGATAAACACAAAATCACTTGGTTGACTTCCAACGATGATCTCACTTAGTGTGGTGCTACATCACCGGAAACAACAGCACAGTGCAAGCAGTTATACTAGGTCTACAAGATAATGTTTGTATCTATATATATAAGAAAAATGTCCCTTTATGATCAGTTTGAAAAAGGTAAACAATATTATCACCACGTTAGTAAAAACAAATGTTGAGCTGATTTTGAGGACATGTTGCACAAGTCCATGTTTGATCAAAATGATACAACTTTTACAGAAGAAATGTTTATATTTGATAATAATCCTAAATCAAACTTCATAATGCCCCCCCCCCTTTGAAACACCTACACAATATCTAAGAATACAGTTATCTTAGCTGTAATAATAATGATTTAATTTACACCAATAAGGAATGGTGACAAGACAGTCTACAGTCTACTTAAATACATGGTAAACAGTGTCATCTTCAGGCCAGTTTTTCCCAGAGGAAAGCAACCTGTTCAAAACGGACCTGTTTTTTAGGCCTCTGCTCGAAAATTGCATACCCATACTAAAGAGAGTATATCTCTGCAACCACAAGGTCTATTTGAATAATTGTGGTGTTATAATAAAGGGAACACTTGTGAGATTTGTTCAGATGTGTGTGTAAATATCAGTATATATGTTACTGGTTAAGAGTAAATGAAGATGGGACACAGCACAAATTGAAAAGTTTCAGGTTCGCCTAAGAAAAAGCACTTACAGGATTATTATTTCTTGCAGAATGCCAGACCCTGCAAGCTGGATCTGAAGGGTACAATAGACGACTTGGCACAGCAAAAAGCCCAGAGAGTTCATGATGTAAGTAGAAGTTATTTATTATTAATTTGACTAATACTCAACCTACACACTAGTGTTTTGTATTTAAAGGAGAAGGGTCTAGCTGCAGAGCTCCAGGCTCAGGCCCACCTCCTCCTCCTGAACCTTCTCTATCATCAATGTAGAGCCAATTGAGATGCTTTGTAAACTACTGGGTAGATTATACTACAAATACTGCATCATATCATACAAGCATATCATGTATTTTCATATGTCAAAAGTAACTTTAGGCCTAAAATAAATGTAGTGGGGTGAAAAGTACAATATTTAGCTCTAAAATGTATTGTAGTAGTATTATAAAGTTTCATAAAGAGGAAATACTCAATTAAAGTACAAGTATGTAAAAGAAAATTCTCATTTACAGTAATCTGTTAGGGTCAGGACATGATATTATGTATTAAATGTACTCTCAGCAGGCTGCTTTATTTATAAAAGTTATGTGTGGTAAAAAATACGCTACTCACTGTAATACAGTGGCATGTAAACATTATGTATTGATAAGGAAGCATGATAAAAGCGTGTTCATTTTCCACCATGACATTCTGGTGATGAAGATAGGTCCCAGTACCTTAGCTTATGTGCAAACATGAATAATGTTGTCAATGTGCGGGTACGCTGCCAAGATAATGTTCCATCTGTGTCATGGTACGCCGCCACTAACAAGTTTCAACTTGCATCTGTTTCATGGTGCGCCGCCACCAACAATTTCCAAGTTACATCTGTGCTATGGTGCGCCGTCACTAAAATGTTTCATATGTGCTATGGTGCGCCATCACCAACAAGTTTCAGTTTACATCAGTTTCAGGGGGAGCCGTCACCAACAATTTCCAAGTTTCATCTGTGTCATGGTGAGCCGTCACCATCTATCTGTGCCAAAGTGCTCCGTCACTCTTGTGTATTACATTTTGTTATGTTAGGTCTGATTTTGAAAGGCCGGCCCACTTTAAATATCCTGTATCGGGGCCCTGTGCTGCCTTGTTGCGCCACTGTGGGCATCACAGTATGTTTCAGGCCAGGTAAAAGAGTTGTAAATTCCAGTTGATTTTTTTTCTAACATGAAGCACAGACTATGGATGTGTCTCAAACTGATCGATAACTCATTTTATAACACTGGCAAGCAAAAAATGTTGCAGTGCTCTGAAAAACTCAACCCTTGTCAACTGCTGGAGAAATTGACAAGGGTTGATCTTCCTGTGAGTTGTGTTGGAAGTCTGACTAAGTTTCTGACTACTTTTTACTAACCTATAAGGCCATTAGTCTCTACATGTCGTTCTACAGTGGCCACAAGATGGAGGTGTTCACCAACACTTGACTTGAAATAGACACACACACACAAGACATGGATTGTATCTGTTCATGGTGCAAAGCAGTGAAAAGTAAAAAGTCAATGACTAATGACAAAGTTTAGACCGTTGAGTAAACACAACAGCCACTGTCAAGTATTGTCTGATAGGTTCAACATGTCAGCAAATAACTGAAGTGGAGCTTCTACTGAATATATCCACCTAAAGCCCACCTGAGCAAGGCATTAAACCTCAGATCAATTAAGAGGGTTAAATGCAGCCAAACATTAATGATGAAATTGTGTACTTAACCATTTTTGGTCTTGTTTAGTGCCTTACTATATTCCCAGAATACCTTTTGGATAACCTCCAGGGGACTGGAAATGTTCACCTGGAGGTTTTACATGCATATGAATACAAAATGTGAAACTTATTCCAGCAATATGCAGAAGAAAATGAGAATTTCAGTCCCATTTAAAATTAGCCTATGTATTATTGAACTCTATTGTGATTTGATGGAATCATCTGAACATGATGTCATGCTGTCTAAGCATGGCTGGTTATCCACGGGGATAACGAT